CTGATGACGTCAGCAAAAAACGTCACGCGATGATGTCACGGGATGACGTCACCAAAAAACGTCACTGATTCCCGTTCCGAATCCGAATTCCGATTCGAGTCAGATGAGTCAATTTGACTCACTGGACTCACCGGGTGTCAGCGAGTTTCTTCGATCGATCGAAAACGAAAGAAGAAAAGACCGACAATGGCGTTTTCACCGGTCTGTTTCGCCTACAATAGCGGCGTTTGTTGTTATTCAAGTAGGCGGCCTTACTGTACTCACTCCTGCAGTCGCAGTGGTACCCTTGCCTTGCCTGTAGTCGGTTGGGAAGACGACGAACCGTTGCCGGCTATCGTCGTCGCAATTCCACGGTGACTACTTTCGGTCGTTCGATCGCTTCTAGAGCACTGTTCGAACTGGTTCCTTCGCTCACAGAGCACCTGAAGGCTGTAGTATCTGTATCTGTAACTGTCTAGACAGGGCTTTTCTTTTTAGATGTTGATTAAACACTAGAGAGACTGTTTGGCCATGGTGAGCTATTTTAAAAGTCAGTCTAAAAAGAAAAGTGAGGAATCGTTTTGGTGGTCCAGTCGATTTCGAATTTCAGTCCCGGATACTCATGACTCAACACTCCGCCACCCTTCGACTTTGCACCGAGCCAAGACAGCAGCAGCGACGTCCCGTAGCTGACGTAATGTGATTCCTCGCAATTCTGCCTTTGGAATTGTACAGCCTCGGTCCTTGAGCCTATTGGTGCTGGGGATGGCCAGCATAGAGCAATTGTTGGCCACACCATGATGCAAAAGGGTCTTGTCACCAGTGAGAAATGTCCCATCCGCCAGTACAAATTGCGGATCCGCCGTCGTTGTGCTTTGCCAGTTCTTGTTCGCTTCTACTCTTGCCTTGAGGCTGCTCTCATTTTCATGGCTATTAACGAGAACCTGGAACAAGGAACCCATCCGGTCTAAGGTCGCAATGTTGATTGTCCAATCATGGACCCAAAGATGCAGAGTGGCTTCATGGGGGATTTGTTACTAGAAGTCTATAGAATCAGATCATTCTATAGAATGAAAAAAAAATCTGTAGAATGGTCTGATTCTATAGAATACTTGAGGGAGGTATACTAGAATTCTATAGAATCAGATCAATCTATAGAATCAAAGTATGTGAGAATCTGTAGAAATCTTATTCTATAGAATCACACATCATATTCTATAGAATCAATTAAATTTTCTCTTGATTCTATAGAATCATCTTCAATTTTTCTGATTCTATAGAATGAAACATGAAAATCTGTAGAATGTTGTTGCTCTGTGATACTACCGGTAGTACTGTTGTTGCCATTGGACGACATTGAGGCTGGTGATAGGGCATGCATCAATCCACAGACTTGACTCTCCTCTCTCCTTGTTATCCGGATCGATCGATCGATTGATCGTGGACAATGGTTGATGGTTGATTGTTGCTCTTCAAATACCACCAACTTGAATGTCAGTGGCCAAGAACTGACTGCCATCCCATGGTCCATAGAATTCAATGAGGGATGGCTTTCAGTTCTGCACCGGAGACGGTCGGCTTGAGTGAGGCTTGATAGAAGAGGTGCAACGATCCCATTCGAATAATTCAAGAACAACTCGCCGAGATCTGACTGCCTTCCCTCAGTCCATAGAAATAAATGAGGGATGGCTTTTGAATCTGCACCTTCAACAACACTCTTGATAATCAATCCATTGATAGAATCAACAATACCGGTACATGTACTCTTATTGTCGGTCAAGCTCCATATTCAGTCAATGAAGGAGAGAAGACTGATGAGGCTGTCAATTCTATGAGAAGTCAGTGCTTTGCCTTCAATAATACACTTGATAATAGACTTACCTTATTGCAATACGACTGTAGTAGCAGTAGTAGTACATGTAGCAGTAGCAGTAGCAGGAGTAGCGATGGATTGATCCACTATCCACTGATGAGGCTGTGGCACAACGCCATGTGATGCTGCTGTTGTTGTTTGTTGCTCTTGCTGGTGCCGCTGTGGAAGGGTGCTGTGACCTTTCTGTGCCCTTCCCATTCTATAGAATGAAAACCGCTGATTCTATAGAATGGTCTCTGATTCTATAGAATGGCAAATTCCATAGACTTCTAGCATCAGATTCCCTCGGTTGTAAGCAAAAGTTGCTGCGCGTATTAGTGTTGGCATACCCATCCCATTGGATGAGTTCTGACCCATTGTAAAAAAGATGCATAATCCCAGTGTCCAAGCCTGTTCGTTTGCGAAGTGCTTGTTTGGCATCCTCTAGCGTGCACTTGGGCTCTCTAAATTGAACCAATGGGAGTTTGAAGCTCTGTTGAGACAACGAGGCGCAGTTCGTGGCAATGTTGAAGACAAAATCAACAAAAAAGTATAGCTTTTCCTTTCCACCAAGCCCATGATCCAACTCCCAAATATTGGAATCATCTGGATCTAGCTCATGAAACAAACTTGTTGATGGCTTCTTGCTTTTGGGCAAAGTCCTATCCGGCGTCAAAGGAGCAGCTTGAGTGCAAAGTTCTTTCCTGAAGAGGTGGGTTTCACCAAAGTTCAGTAGCTTTTTGACGTCCCAGTCATCTCTCTCTTCCTTTAATGATACAATCATCTGATGAAGTATCAACGTGGCTTCCTCTAAAGTTCTACGCGCCTTCAAATCTGGATCTAGCTCACAAAACAAGCTTGTTGCTGGCTTCTTTCTTTCGGGCAAATTCGTATCCGACTTCAAAGGAGCAGCTTGAGCACAAAGTTCTTTCGTGAAGAGGTGAGTTTCGCCATAGTTCAGTTGATTTTTGGCTTCACAGTCATCTCTCTCTTCCTCTAATGATGCGATCAACTGATCAATTATCAACAACTTGACCGACTTGATCGTGGCTTCCTCTATTGGGACAATCACCTCTACCGTTTTTTCATACTCATCCACCTTGGTCGACACTCCGGGAATCCAACACTCCACCTTAACTTTTCTCTTGCAGCCAGCTGAGGCGCCCTTCATAGCTTTATCGATCACCTCCTGGCTCATCACCGTCTCCTTGCTCTTGTCTCCGTGTCTCGCCCTCTTGATCGTTCAAGTTACTATTAATACATGTCTCGCCCGTTTCTGGCTTCAGGCACCCAGAACCCAGGCATGGATCTTTCGCAAAATCCACGACTGGGTTAGCCTCAACCCTACAACTTTTGTTCAAAAACCATTAACCTTAAACTCAAGCCGTTCCGATCCTCAAGCCCTGGACAGCAGCGACGGCGAGTGACCATGGCTAACAACCAACAATTCCTTGACGGCCGCATCTTGTTACTGTGCTTGTGAGTTCGTAATCTGTTGGCACGGTAGAGCCTCAGCAGCGCAAGATCGGCTAGCCTAGTAGAAAAGTCTTCTAATAGTCTCTGGAAGCCTACGGTAGATCAAAAAGGTCAATCCATTCAAGCAACATCATGTTCTCTGCCAAGGCACTCTCGTTGGCAGCCCGTGGGAGCCGTGTATTGGTGGCTCGAAGAACGACAAAGGATGGAGCTCGTCGCATGATGGGTGGTGATGCACCCGTTCCCAATTCCATGAAGGCTACTCTCTGGGAAGGTCATCCCACTCAACCAGAAGGCTGGGAACCTTACATGTACTTTTACTACACGGTCTCTGCTGTTGCCATTTTCTGGATTGTCAACTTTACTCCGGATACCAGTATCGAGGCATGGGCGCAGCAAGAAGCCAAGGCTCGATTGGCGTTAAAGGCCAAGGGATTCACAGACTTTGAATTTGGCAAGCATTACCAAGATGAAGCGGCCCAATCCGAGGCTGACAATTGGGACAAATTCACCATGAGAGCCATCAAACCTGGTGAAGACGATGATGATGATGAGGACGACGATGAAGATGATGACGACGACGACGGTGATGATGATGACGACGACGATGAGTAAAGCGTGAAATTCTAGAATTTTGTCTCGGCTAGCTACTAGCCAATTGTTGCCGATTTTCGCCTATATTTGTTCATGTTATTCAGCAATCAGCAATATGATGTACCAGGTACTGGTGCAATACCAGTAGACCCTTGCATAACATAATGCTTGCTATTAAGGCCTGGCTTGACAGGTTTAGGTACTATTAATAGTATCACACAAATTTCTGTTGTTCGTTGATGTTCTGTCTTTGGACACGGAATGAGAAATCGTATCTATGCCTGCAAGTCTACTTTGCATCGATGCCGAGAAGCTGGAGAAGACCACAGCGATGCCTATACATGGAAACGGCACCCGAGCTCTTGATGCGTCTCTCCAATGATATGCTGGATACTTGTTGTTGCAATGAAGATCTCATGAACCAACGCAGAAAGCATGCCAACCGCCACAAAAAGTGGAAACCATCACTTGGGGGTCGGTGCGATAAAGAAGATGATTCATTCCGTACTCCAGCTCCGCCAAACTTTTGATTCATTCCTGCACATGCGTCCATGGTTTCTACAATTCCCCAAAGACTCAAGAAGAAAAAGCTGACTGTCGCCACTGAAACAGCGGCTTCGGTTCCCGACTTGGGTGTCCGGGACATCGCTTTGCTGCAGGTTGTTTACAAAATTGGACAAAACGATGCCATTGTAAGAGTCGCCGCGTAAACGGAGAAGGAGACTAGATTCGTCGTTGACGATGAACCTCTGCCGTAACAGTTCCTGATTCTCCACACACGGCATGAACCATGATCACAGACCATGCTGCAGTAAACGTCTACCAGACACGACAAAGGCAGCGCCATCTCCAGGTTAGCGAGCAAGGTTTCAATCGAATCACTACAGCTGATCTATCTACTGGTGTGACTGCTCAATTACAATATATTATTGTTGGATGTGTGACGGAAGTTTTCGTGTCTGGTGTCGACACGTGAAGCGACAGTTTGCATGTTCTACCCCTGATTTGCTTGAGCTGCTGAGCACCTTGTTTCGGTTCCGATCCGGAGATTCACGCACAGTTGGCGCAGTCTTGTCTTGTGTGGGATATGGCTCAAAATTTTGGTACCGCACGGTGACGTTTCGCTCTACGGTACGGTATTAGTAATCCCCTTGACATCAAGGATGATACGGTACGTGCGCCTGCCATGTTTCCTCCCGCATCTGTAGAATGGAACATCCTTACCGATGCCAGGTGTAACGTGGCGCTGTCTTTCCACTGGAGCCAGGACAGCTTAGTGATTTTCCTCGTCTCCCTCGCTCTCATTGTCACTATTAGTATCGTCATCACTGTCTTCGTCGTCGTCAGTCTCCGGAATGGATGCTGGCAACTGAAACGATTGTTGATTGTGAAACCGTGTGATTAAAAAGGTTTCATATCGCGCCAGCAGTCTCGCTTCGGCCACTGTGGGATGCGGCATTTTGAATACTTCATCGAGTCTTCCATCATACCCTTCATACTGACATCCCACACGAATGATACTGGCTTCCTGTCCCATCATACTCTTGTACTGTGCATGCATCATGTTGGCAATGACGGACGTGTGCAACCAGGAGACTTCCTTGTTCCGATGAGGATAATACTCAATCATGTGATACCAGTTGCGTCGTGCAAATTCGACGCAAAAGTTTCTCCAATTCATTCCTTCGCACTCGACAATGTGGACAATACCTTCTCGTACGGCACCCAAATTGGACTGCAAGATTTGAAAAATATAATAGAGACCACCGAGGTAGATTCTCCAATCTTCTGGAAAATCCACCTTGGACGGATCGAGGACGCCGTAGTCATAGACACAGACAAAGTGGCCCAGCGGCGCTTCGTATTCTACATCCAAAACAAACCACGGTTGCTGAATCGTGAATTTGCGCAACAAGTCCATTCCCTGTTCCAACGTATCGTCAATTTTGTATTCGTCTCGAAATTCTTGTAATCCTTGAATGCGACGCAGAGCATCCGTCACATCGCCGCGGCTTACCAAGGCGTATTGCGCGTATTCGTAGTCGCTCAATGCCTTTATTTCATCCGATCGAGCTTCGACCGCTTGTTTGATTTCCAGCGCCCAACGCGTCTCGGCGTCCGTCAGCTTGTGGGCGTACTCTTGGATGAACGTCGTGGTTGCGGTGGTTGCTGTTGCTGCTGCCATGGTGCTATTATTTAAAATGATGATGTCTACTATAATACTTACGAAAAAAGAAGCAAGAAGCTGTTTGTGGTTGATGTGTGTAACGTTGCGGAGGGGTCTTCCGCTTGCTGCTATGCATAAAGCAGAGCTGTGCCCGGTAGCAACTTATACCTCATCAATAAGATACCTCTTTTCTTAGCGCGATTCTGTGCCTTTCGCATCATCTGTTTACCAAAATCAACCCACGATTGCCGAAACACTTGCCGAGAAGGTCTCCGAAGCCAGCTGCCTGCTATATGGAGAACGAACACAAAGGAGCAGACGAGCAAAACAAAAACAAACGCACCAACATTCGCTCCCGCTGCACCAAGCAACATCACCATCAATAGATCTGAGAAGCAATGGCAGGTGCTGTAATGCGTGAGCGAGAAGAAGATGAAGAAACTCGACGACATGTGCGACCCCGCAGCAGCTTGGATGCGCTTCCTCCTTGCGTAATTGGTCTTGCTTACCGCAACAGAAAGCATCGCTTCTTTGTTCCTTCCACAAATAACACTTTTGCTGGGATACCTGTTTCCTACCGTACGTTATGGTGGATAGAGCGGTTGCAACAGCTTGCTGTTGCCATTTCCCCAACAAGCGGATGATGGCACGTTCGAGATCGACATGGGACCTCTGGAGCCTTTTCTTGGCAACGAGTTCAAGTGGTCTATAATATCTGGTTCTTCAAGCGGAATAACAGGGGAAGTTGGGTCAAAAACAACTCTGCGTATCGAGAATCGCAACGATAGTGTGCCTGTTGGATGGATGCAGTTGGCCTTTTCAAGACAACGGGTGCAATTGGATTATCTCAGATTTCACCTGGGAAGTGGAGCCGCAAACGCATTGAAGAATCATGAGAAGTTGTTGCGTGACCATAAGCAGGCCCTCCGAGATTTCTTGACTGCACTTGGTGGTCGAGTTTCCAAGAAGGAGCGAAAGCATGCACTTCTGGGACAATACTATACTTGGATCAAGTTTGTTGCATCCAGAGAGGTTCTGTCATGTTCATGGTTGTTGACAGGAACAGCAGCGATCCCATCAATATTGCCCAAGTAGCCAACCAGTGTGATGAATTCGCCAACCCTCTAGTGGGAGGCTTTGTTGGGTTTGATGACCTCGAAGATGAAGATCATGACGGGGACGACAACGAAGACCGCCGCTTGTCATGGGATCCAACCGACTACATTGATGAAGCTGATTAGTCGCGCAAGGGACTGGGCTTGGAACGGTTTATGCCTACGATGTACCTCATTGAGTCCTGTACTGGAAGTACGAGTATCTTAGAGGATTCATCAACAGCCACACTGAGTCATTAGCTCACAACAAGCAGCCAAATCTCAGTATCTTTCATATCTTATAGCCACTACCAGGTAGCAGTTTTTGTCACATACCCTACTACTCACCATGCCCTCATATCGGTGAGGAGCCGCCGCCAAAGCCCAAGAAGGCAAAGGTGCAAAGCCAAAATTGATGCAACCTAAGATGTTGTGGTCGAGTATGCCCCCCGAGATGGGGATATGGAGTACCATGGTACTTGGATGTATGATAGATGGTGATGTGGAGGATAGGGGGTAATGGCTCCCTCACTCCTCACATAGAAGTAGAATTAGCTTGGGGTTTTTGAGACGTTAGTACTCATGGCTTCTCTGGTTTGGGAAATCGGAGTGTCTAGTTCATCTTTTATTCAAAAGGCAAGCTGAGAATCACATTCCTCTGCAAATTTGGTTTCACTTCTCTCAAACACTGCTCCCGAACACTTCTCCTGAACACTTCCCCCGAACACTTTTAGTGTTGTATTAGTATTCCCTCTGACCTCTGCAAATTTGGTTTCACTTCTCACAAACACTGCTCCCGAACACTTCTCCTGAACACTTCCCCCGAACACTTCTAGTGTTGTATTAGTATTCCCTCTGAATTATCAGTGGACAGTCTTTTAGTATTTTGCAGAGAATTTTCGTTGACGATTTTTGTACCTGCGCACCGCACCGTTCCGCACCGCTCGGTACAAATTAAAAGCTTCAGAGATCCAGCATTCAAGGATTGCGATATAAAACATTTCTGTGACCCACTTATCTTAAGTGTAAGTGAGGAGTGTGCGGTACTAGCTCGCTGGCTAGATTAGAAGATGCTGGTGCCGGTACCAGTACTACGTGCCTCTCTGTGGTCTGGGGAAGACTTTATTACTACTATTGGAAAGCCCTGTGAAACCCTTCTTGCATGGGACGAGCCAAAACGGAAGAAAACTTTCGGCACGGTAAAAGTGACGCTCCAAAAGGGATTGAACTGTGCTGCGGTGATCCCGAGGAGCTTGAGGTCTCGGAGAATAGTACACGTACATGGTACCTGGTTGGCACCGGTACCGGTGCCGTTACAGCTGGCCGGTAGCTAGCTACTCTAGCCAGAAAACTATCATACCGGTACTCGGAGCAATATAGCCGGAACTGGTAAAATACCTAGTGTAACATTTCGCAACAGTGTATCTTGTGCCTCAGGTAAAACGCTTGGTCACCGGGTGCCCTCCTCTCCGTACAAAGATCGCTCACAAAATGGATTCGATTACAAACTTGAAACTAAAAAATGGATGATTCCACTGCCGTAAAACAGCTCATAAAACTGGAATGTCACCACTGAATACACTCATACAGTAGTATCACTCACTGAAGGATGAAGTTTACTGTTTCGATCTTGTTTTCGTTGGCAGCCGTGGCCTCTGCCGGCCTTAGAAGGCCAAGGGCCAGAGCTTTGTCAAAACGTCGCCGTCTCACAGGAGCTTACGTGGAAGTCGAGTACATTCTGGCAGAAACCATGAAGGAGCAAGTGGGGATTATCAACCAAATTGGTATCAAGAAAATTGAGGAGTCATGGATGTTGCAGGATGAGGCTGCAGAGGAATTTGCGACCCCGCCCGAGGACGAACCCTATTTGGAAATGAGCGACTGGACGACGTTTGACTTGGAGATGGAAATACTGGAGATGGAAACGATGGCTGAGGACATGACCATTGCTCTTGTTGAGAAAATTGGTGTGCCTGATCACGCTACGTCTTTGCTCAATGTTGTCAAAGGTAAGTAAGACTGCATCGATTGCTTGAATAGTACGGCTGCCGTATGATTGCCAGCCACTCTCTAACTCCCGTGCTTGCTACCGGTACGCGAAGACCAACAGGCCATAATCAGTCTAGAGATTCACGATCTTGCTGGTAGGTGGGAGGAAATGCACGAGTCTAGGCGTCGCCGTCTCTCGGAAGCCTACATCCCAGTATCTTACGTCCTGGAGGAAACCAATAAGGAACAAGTTATGATTTTGGAACAAATTGACCATATGAAGAGCGAGGAAGACTTTATGCTCATGCCTGAAGGAGATGAGGGAGGTGTCCCACCAGAAGATGGGTTATATGCCACCAAAGATGACTTTCAAGAGATCTGGAATCTAGAAATGGAGATATTATCTAAAGAAGCTGAGGTCGAAAGCATCGCAATTGAAAAGGCCGTGGGAAAGGGCGCCGATGGCTGCTTGTTGACGGTGGTCCAAGACCAGCAAGCCATGATCGAGGCAGAGCTTGCGGCCTTGAATGCCGTCTGGGTAGAAATTCCAAGTGGCGAAAGCGAAGATTCGTCCGAAAGCGAAGATTCGTCCGACAGCGAAGATAGTGGAGATGGTGATGCCTCTGAGTGAGCTCAGCATGTGCCGAGGATGAGATCAATGCAACTATTTGTGGAAGAACGAACGAACCGAACATCGAAACAATGAAAACGAAACCAAAAGACATGCATAGTAGCATTGTGAGAGGAAGGCTTTCTTGCAGCTCCAACGTGACGCAATTCTTTAGAGGTTAAAGGAAGCAAAATGTGTTAATCCTCATTCTCCCATGGTTTTGAAATGTTTGAAGCCAGACGCTGTGGTCTCTATGCTGCATTGCTGGGCCTCTTTGTATGATTGCCTTGGCAATTGGCAACTTTTGTGCCCTATGCCTATCGAACCGACAGACCGCTTACATTGTGTCATGCTTCGCACAAGGAAGCACATGGGCAAGATATGGGGCTTCGAGGCTGTCGTTAGGATCCCCGTGGTGTCTTTAGACTACTGTGGTCCATCAACGTGAGCACCCTTGGGTCGGTGATCCTGAGGAACTTCGAGGATAGATGTGCGCTGGTGTGGCTACCGAAGATACCTGTACGGTAGGGTACATCTCACAGGACGATAGAGGCAACCAGAACATTTCGCCCTACCTGGTACGGTAAAGTATTCTTCAACAGCCTCATCATCACCTAGCTAGCTACAGTCAACACTCACTTAAGTTCCGTTTTTTTAAGTTCCGTTATTCTACAAAGTTCCACTTTTTCAGGGCTGCCCCACCTCAGTCACTAGTTCTCATGACTGAACATGACTGACTGGTGAATGGGTTTTGTGGCTGTTTGAGGCTGGGCTGGCAGTTAGAAACAGTCACATTTTGCCCATTTTGGGCCCAAATCGTAGATTGAATCCACTAGATAGAGTCGTGGTGCTGACCCCACCATCCAGGAATCTCATTTAAGACCAGTCACACTAAAAACCTCCACCATCCGTCTGTCGTAGTTCGGAGTTCGCAGAATCGCGAAGCTGAGATAATCGCGAAAAACAAAAATGAGGTGGCTCATAAGCGTTCCAGCACCAAAACAGAGCCAAATCATGCACTTACCATATAGCAACCTCATTATCTCTCATAGAATAGACCTCTATTAGATTAGGATGCTTCAGCAGTGATGCTTCTAGCTGCTCTGGCCCCTTTGGAAGCCTTTCTGTTGCTCTTAACCTTTGCACGGCGTTCGACGCCTGGATCCTCATTGTACCACTTGAACTCTTTCCTCTTGTCATCCGGCACCAGAGGCCCCCATTTATCGTGCAGCTCAATCCACTTAATGTCCTGGACACCGATGGCATCAATGGACTCTAATTCCTGCATGCGAAGTAGCCAGTTTGCTTTCGAATCCCATTCCGGTTCTTTTTGGATCCTCTTCGTGATGGTCTTCTTTTCAATAGTTTCGAGGACAACAGGAGCATTAACCCATTCCTGAATGGCAATGGTCGCTCCATTATCCCTTGTTGCAGTAGCCACAAACATGTGGTTGTCTTCGACACCACTCTTGATCCTGTATAAATACTGGTTCTCGAACTTGTCGAAATCGAACATGTCGTTGTGAGATACCCATACTGCGTTGACTTAGTCATGAGTGAGGGCTTCAACCATGTCCTCCGGAAGGTAGATGTTCGCCTGTTGAAAGGATAGTACAAGAGCAAGTAGATGAGACAAATATTTCAGGTTTTCGTGTGAAGAACAACAATGATGTCAGTCTGGACGGAGAACAGTAACATACCTTTCGATAGTCCTTCTTCATGACATTGAACAGCCGATCGCAATCGTTCTTGGTGTGTCCTCTAATCAGAAAGCAAAACTTCACTGTTTCAGCCACTCGAAGCTTCACCAGGAGATAGATAAGCCTGATTACCATGTTGTTCTTGTTCTGTCCAGGACAGTTGTCGAAGAAAAAGGCAATCTCCTTGTATGGTTGTTGAGTGTAGAGGATGCCGCTTTGTTGAAGATGCAACCAAAGCAGAGAAGCAACGTTGTTTCCTCCCTTCTTTGCAATGTCTTCGGTGTAGACATAAGCTCCAAGCTTGTCGAACGCGCAATCCACCACACCAAAACAGTACGTATTGAGTGGGCTGTAGTAATACGTCTCTCCTGGCTGTTCGAATCCAAACGATGGAATCCCCATGTTCTGTGCATAGTCGGCAACAAAGCAGAGTGTTCGCTCTTGTGGTGGATTGTCTCTGGTCGTATTCGCCAGCTTCTTGTATTCCTGGAAGAGCTGCCTCTGATCATTGTACATGGTGATGTGGTGGCGACTTGACTCCATCAGTTTCGCTTGCTCTGCCATGAACATGTTCTTCTCCTTGGCGGCACCTTGGGCTTGGATCTCTGCGGCGGTTGGCTGTTTGGGCTGTTGCTCTTGTGGTTCTTGCTGTTTCTGTTCTTGTTGGTTTGCGTCTGGGTTGTCATCATCTTCGTCGTCTCCATCCAAGACCATCTCATCAATAACAGCTTCTCTTTGTTCTTTGGCTTGAAGTCGGTTGATAAGAAACTTGTGCCGATTCGCATACTTGAAGCATTCATTGCAAATGTCTTCCCTAGGGCGACAGATTATTATCTGCTTGTACTCCCTTTTCCAGTATGCATGGAACTTGGCCCAACTGCAAACAGGTTTCTGTTCCACGCCGGGTATTGGGACATTCGAAGTGATTGCCCCCTTTGAATCGACCGAATAGTGATAGCCTCTCTCCCTCAAATACCGTCCGTAGAGTTGTCGTTTGCTGTTGCATGAAGGAAGCTCAACCACTTCTTCGTCTGTGTTGCGAAGTGTCTGTTGGACAGTTTCACCAACCAGCTCTCTAATGAAAAGAGTTGCCCTTGGACATGCAAGCTGTTTCATGTCTTCGAAGAACTCCTTCAAGGAGGAATCTACCGCTTCGTTGCACCTGCGTGCTATTCCATCATTGCCATGGCCCATGAGTTTCTTGCCAGTCGCCACCATCTCTGAAGCGTTCCACTTGTCCCAACCAAAACCAACCATTCTGGACAAAGTGTCACGGCAGCAGGACACTCGCTTGATCAATCCAGGCATAAGGAAGGGCCTTCGCTGTTCGTTGACATTGTAGAGATGACGGTCCTTCATCTGCTTCTTGGTGTACTTGATCCATTCCACGACGAACGACATTTGACCATTGCGGTCTCTCAATGCAAACTGAAAAAGGGAATTGACCAACACCTTAAAGTAGTAGGTCCCAGGTTCTGGAATGTCCTTGCAGCAAGTGCATGCCTTGTCTCTTGCTTGATTCTTGATGGAGACGCAGTTCTCCAGTGCACGGTAAGCCTCCAACCAATCAGCAAGTTCCTGTTTGAGTGCTTCCACGTTGGGAGGATTTTTGCACTTTGAACCTCGAATAAGCTTGGTTCTGATGGCGGGAGAGTGGATCTTCCTCACAGGGCTGATGGCAATGCTATTCCTGGGGGTAGCGGTGGTAGGCGGAGGCTCTGTCATGGTCTCTATTGGTTTCTTTCCACCATCTTTGGTTGACTTGGAATACAAAACGAAAGAAGGAAAATAGCGAGTAGTATGGTGGGAGTTACTGTGGGAGTTAGCAATGCCACACGATTAACTGAAAGCGACGAGAGCATTATATCTGTCGGTTAGCCCCTTCTCAGTAACTAGACGTCGGACGGGTATGTTCAATACATCGCTGGATAGGTCTATATGTTTCGAAGACGTTCCGCGAATAAAAAGAATTTTCCACCACCTCACATTTTGACCGACGACGGACGGACACGCGCTGATTTTAGTGTGACCTGTCTTATTTATACATATGAAAAGTTAGTTCAACTTTCTCTTTCATGCCAGACACCCTCAGGTACGCCACAAAGCCCAAAGAGCACGTTTTACTAGCATTTGCTAGTAGTAACACAACTAGTCGACAATAGAGCACTATATGTAGAAGTGGCATGGTTCCACCCTATGAAAGATTGGTTCCTTTTACCCCCAATAACAATAGAATATGACAGGAACCACCCCAAGTGGGTCCTAAGACCACGAACGGGCCGATATGGGGCTCCAAAGATCTAAAGTTCCGTAATTCAGCTAAGTTCCGTTTTTTTCTTAATGCTGGGGGGTGGAACTTTAGTGAGTGTTGACTGTAGTAGAATAGATACTAATTCAAAAATAAGCTATCAACCTCGATCCCAGCAAGCTAGATGGTTTCAGTGTGGTATCTTTCAATCCAATTAACTTGGCAGATCATCTACATGTACCAGGACAGACAGTGCAGCTGTCAGCTATTGAGTTGGCCAACAATTCCACTCAGTCGGCAACACAACAGGGGCAACGCCTGGCCGTGAATGTAGCATATATTAAGAGCTAATGGAAGCGGAAACGAATTTGGGAGCGCGGGCGTCACGGCATCAATTGGTTCAGCTGTTGCTAGATGTTACGGTACAGTTCTATTGATGGCGGTGTATCATGGGGTGCTTTGTGGGATGATGGTGGGAATAAAAATTCCCTGTTTAGTTTTGTTGTTTTGGTTGTCGAAGCTGGAAGTCGGAGGCGTCCAATCATGTCATGCCTTGGCATGAGACGGTAACAGATCTAACCTCCAAATCCATAAAGTGTCTTTCCTTGTCTCTTCAACGCGTAGACGACGTCCTTTTATTACAAGTGGGCAGCAACGGTGAGTGTATGATCCAGACAGTGCAATGCAATACAGTAAATGACATCGATGCATCACATACCATTGCCGTCACAGTCTTGCGGCGAGCATGCTCTGTGTAGGTTACGGAATCACGAATCACATTTTCTAGGAAGACCTTCAAAACTCCTCTGGTTTCCTCATAGATCAGACCCGAGATACGCTTGACACCTCCACGGCGAGCAAGACGACGGATGGCAGGTTTGGTGATACCCTGGATGTTGTCCCGACTTTGGGGGAAACAGATAGGGCAGGTGTGAGAAATAAGCCTAATAACCAAACGACGACGACAATGGCCAACCAACGGAGCCGCGTCTACTAGGAACTGTCTCTTTTACTGTTGAGGTGAGTACTTACAGAACCTTGCGGTGACGCTTGGCACCACCTTTTCCAAGTCCCTTTCCTCCTTTTCCACGGCCGGACATCTTGTTGTTTGCTAAAGTGTTGGTAGTGGTTGATTGCTTCTTGTTGCTGGGCAACTGGATTTGTGAGGTTTGAGAGTGATGAATGAAAGTGGAGCCGAAAGAGGAGAAGCTTTGAAAAGCCGCGAGACGTGGGCCTGCAATCGCCAGACGTCTCAGTTTTGAATTTGAAATTGCCGCCAATCCGAGCTCGCGGCTTGTCGTGCCGACACGCGAAAACGAGCAGCCACACTGGTTTAGTTAGGGTTACGGTATTCCAGATTTACACCGGATGCTTCAGACACGTGTACCTGGTACCGGTACTGTCCGGTACAGGCAAGCACCCATGCCAAATCTCAAAGACCACCCTTTCTTCTACAAGCTAGCTAGCCAGCTTCTGGCTGCACTCATTCATCATTCTGCCAGGGGCGCATTGGTCAGTTTCACACATACAGTGTACCAGTGAGAGGTACCACACTGGTCCTATTTCGCATGACCGTACGGAAGCGGATCATGAAGGTGAAGCGTACGTACCACTACGGCACCGGTAGCTAGCCAGCTGCAGCGATATAGTCCTCTTGCAGAGACTTCCGCATGTCAAATTCCCCATCATTTAGCTGCATTCCGGTACTGGCACGAGGATTCACGGTCTTGCAGCATAGTCCATCCATTGGTTCACAAGGCGCGCCAAGGTGCCAAGCTAGCTCTGGCCATCTGGTAGAAGATGAAAGCTATTGCGATAAAATCTATGACATTGCGGCGAAAGTGTACCGGTATGTGTAGCTGTTTCTGGGCTCCTCGAGTCCTTGCGCGAAGAAATGTTATTTAGTGCAATGGCTGCTGTTCAGTCGCTGACGTTGTGATTTCAAAATGGCAAAACTGAACAACTGGTACGTTGGTAAGATCGTGTTTGTCACATTCGCAGCCTACGCTTTCCGGTTGGATTGTGCAAGCTACCGCTAGCGGAGAGGGCGTCTTTGTCATGGCCAGGTGCATACCAGTACCGATTCAGGCCCATGTAGCATGAGAGCTACGGGTACAGAGAATACAAAGCATGGATCCTAAATTTGAATTTGCGGTTGCTACGTACTCTAGCTAGTAGTCACGAAACTGAACTGCACGTACCACTAGTTGTACTGCGATGTAGGTCCCCCTGGCTCCGTGCCAAGTGCCATCGTCCGATATTTCGACAATAGTAGCTCTACTGAGTCGAGTCCATACTGTCATCTGTCATTGACATGACGCTGAAACATACCTACCGCTCCCCAGCTCCAGCAAGGCAGATTCCAAAGTGCTTCGACCCAATGGAGGTTCCATAGTGAGTACCGGTACCGCACCGGTACCGCATGTCATCCTGTTGCTCCATGGACTCGACTCAACTCAGTCCATCCAGTCATTGTCGGGAGGGCTGAAGACCAGACTAAATAGCTGGAGCAGATGAAAGCCATTTTGTACAAACAGTGTTACTGGTACCGGGTTGTGTGCAGAAAAAAGTACTGTGCGTTTAAACAAGCTGTTGCTACGGTACCGCTATCATCCAGGATGCAGTCACGCTCATTGCGATTTCGAGTTGGACTTAACTTGTCTAGTAGTAGTTATATCTTAGTCTAAATCAAGTTCGGGTACAATGGCATGCTGCGTTACCATGGAGAGCATAATATAGTAAAGTTCGTCTGGTTGCAGAATGGATGGCTTCAGAAGTACACACTTGCGGCCTACAATGGAATCAGAGCAAGGTTAGTAGGATTCAGAGGGCTTTGTGGATCTGGCTAGAGGATACGGTTTCATTTGGCTTTGTGCTTGGGTGGAGATTATAATCTCCGGTTTTGTTTTTTTGTTTTTGTTGATCGTGGACCTAAGATCGCTCTCCACGGATGCGGCGAGCCAACTGAATGTCCTTGGGCATGATGGTGACACGCTTGGCGTGGATGGCACAGAGATTGGTATCCTCAAAGAGACCCTGGGAAACGAAACAAATGAACAGATGTAAGCATCGAGCCGCCAGCGCACAAAAGCAAACGAACAGGACAAGCAATCCGTCAAACGTACAACCAAGTAGGCTTCGGCAGCTTCTTGAAGCGCAAGAACTGCACTTCCTTGGAAACGGAGATCGGATTTGAAATCTTGTGCAATCTCCCTCACAAGACGCTGGAAGGGAAGCTTGCGGATCAACAAGTCAGTACTCTTCTGGTAGCGACGGATCTCACGAAGAGCAACTGTTCCAGGGCGGTATCGGTGGGGTTTCTTGACTCCTCCAGTGGCAGGTGCACTCTTACGAGCAGCCTTGGTGGCCAACTGCTTGCGTGGAGCCTTTCCTCCAGTAGACTTGCGGGCGGTTTGCTTGGTTCTAGCCATGGTTGGATGATCGAAAAAGAAGATAAAAGTTTTTGTTGTCGAAAGTGTTTTGTTTCGATTTGTGAGCATACTAGTAGAGGGTGCGGTGCGAAGCGAGGAGTTCGAACGAAGAGAGCCATCCGTCCCAACCCAAGCCAGCCAAGAGAGTTTTTAAAAGTTTAAATTTGAAAAATGTCGGCTTGCGTCGTATTGTATGATAAGGTTTGGCTAGGGTTAGTACCGGTACGGGTACTATTCCATACGGTACCGTACATCGTACCGTACGGCACAGGTACGCTACGATACCGTACCAGTACTGTACTAGTACTCTACCGAGCACAACAGGGATGGAATACGGTATGAAAATAAACGTACAGGCACAGTCGTACTGTGCTGTCTTGTATTGCGGTGGAATAGATGTATGACATGCGCCAGAAGGGGGCATAGAGTGAAGCTTGCTACATATACATACACGGGGAGCATGCTGTGCTCCACAATCGCAGGTCCAAGGTGGTACCATACCAGGTACTGGGACGAAGCGAGACAGACAACAATGTCTTACTATCCATGTGGGTCTCCAACTATTCAAGATCACTTGGCAGGCAACCATTGAAGCTCCAACTGCTCCAACTGCTCCAACTTGGTCGGTCTTCCTAGCTGAGATGGCATGATCCCATTGAGGGAGTTGCGAGAGATGGAAAACTCAATCATGTTGGTCATTGGACCACTCTCAGTTGGGAGTTCTCCCCGGAGATTGGACAGCCATTGCCATGCTTTTCATGGAGCGGTACTACTATTGTCAAGGCTTTCCAGAGTAAACCTAGGAAGATCGTTCTTGAGCGAATCCAACAAAAGAACTGCAGGAGCCATGGATGGAACTTCGGATGGTCCTATGGGCATTGCAGTAGCGGGCGGACGTGCAACTATTGTGGTAGGATCCTTCTTTCTGGACACGCCCACCCGAAGTGCAATAGCCAAAGCAGGAAAGAGAGAGGGATGATTGCAAAGCCAAGCCAAATCTCCTTCATTCTCTCTCCTTTTCTTGTTTCATGGACTCCACAAGGTGCTTTTGTTCCAGCACCTCTGGGTCCATTTTCTGAGCTTTTTGGAGCAGCTGCTCGTTGTAGTCTTCCGCCGCTGGCATGGCCTCAACCAATCCAGCGTTTAAATCGTTGCTAGAACTGACTGTTGATCGTGGCAGAGGCGCAAATGCATCCAATGGCTCATGCCGACTACTAGCGGCAGCTGTTGGTTTGTCAGCAAAGACATTGCAAGTAGTTTCTTGCTCATGGGAATCTCCCACTGGTTGGTGCTGAGCTTCCTGATCTTCCTCGCCACTATGCCATAACGTGCTTGTCATGTGCTCGTCTGGAAGGTCTGGAAGCGTTCCCGTGTTTCTCTTGGTGATCCCGTGCTGCATATTGGCTCATTTGGTAGTTCTATTCTTGCTTAGACCCCTCAGAGTACCAGGGCTACCTACATGCGTAACGGTGCCAAAGGCCGGTCGTGCACTCGGCGGAACGCCTCTGGCTGCTTGGATCTTTGCCTCCAACTCTTTGGGGCTGCGGTGTAGGCCGTTATTGTGGACAGCTTGCGATGCTGCGCCAACGTTGGCTACCGGTACCTGGGGATGCTGTCTGTTTGCCATGTTGGACGGAAATATTGGCGGCGTGTTCTTCGGCATTGGATCCTTTCGCTCATTTCTTTTCCACGAGGCCGAGATATCGTAGTAGCGTTGTCTTGTTCGTGCCTTGGATGCTTTCGCTCATTTCTTTTCCAGAGGCTGCCGAGATATCGCACTAGCGTTGCTTTTGAGGAGAAAAGGAGGTCAACCTTGTTGCCCGGCTGGCTAGCCAACACTGCAGCTCACTTGCCAACAGGCCCAGTCATGTTCTGGCTATTGGGTACTGGTAGCTTGTTTTTTCCTTACCGGTGTGCAGCAGTGCGGTAGTGCATCATCTGTTCCACGGGCTGCCGCCCTCGATGGGCCTTCCGGGCTAACTGTACCTACTCCTCTACCATAGCTAGCTAGTGAACGAGATCAAAGCACGCCAGAAACACGTCGCATTACATCTTCTTCGGCCAATGTAAACTTCTAGTCGCTGTCCTAGCTGGGCCCCATCGGAAGAAACATGGGCACATTACCCAGCCTTCGCAAAACGCCCCGAGCCCTGTTTCTTGGCTGTCTCAAGAGAGATCTACGGTCTACAGGAGAGAACTTACTTTATTAGAGATAGTTTGGCCTGTTGAAGAATGGACCACGGCAGGCATCGGACCGGCTAGCTAGCACCTACCCTGAAAGCAGTATGGAAGAAGAGGTGTTTATACTTGTGGGAAAACTATAGTACGACTGCCCCCCCTAGAATCGAGTGTGGCCAGATGCATTAGTACCTGACCGTCAGAACCACCCCAGTTTGGAGGTAATCGGGGTAGCAGCCGCTCTGGCAGCTGCTTACTTCGTGTCAGGTTCATTGGATTTGTCCGAGGGCATTGCGAGTTTGACTTTGGGCTTGGAACGCTTTGGTCCATTCTGCTTTTTCCCCACGCCACGAGGACGAAACGCAAGAACAGTAACGGAACTGCTGCCCTTTGTCTCCTTCTTGGGTGCAGGAGGTTTCGTCCGTTGTTCACTGTTGCTCGGCTTGGTGCCTTTGTCCTCGCCAGCTTGGTCAGTTGTAGATTTTGGCTTGGAGGAGGAATGCTTGGGACGATGCATACCGGGAGGGACCAGCCCGACCGCTGGAACATGAGAGCGTTCTATTCGCAGCGTTTTGTCGTTTAGCACCACTTGTTGATCCAATGCCAAGCATTGTTCTACCGATTCCCTTTCTTCGAATTGCAGCAGTCCCCAGCCCTTGGATGCCCCTGGCTTGCCCCCTTTGGCGTTCAATTGCTTTTCACGTTGCACTCGACAGTGTACCACGGCACCGCATTTGTGCTCGTTTTTGAAAAATTCAATCATATCCATTTCTTCTGTTTCGTCTGCCAAGTTGGATATTCGCACCGTGAACGGGTGCGCCCGATGAAAGATATGACCAATTTTCACCTTGTGGTGTTTCTTTGGTTGATTGGCTGGTCCAGCTGGTTTGTCGGTTGTTGTTGTTGCTGCTGCTGCTGCTGCTGTCGTCTCATTTGCCTCTTTCTTTTGTTTCTTGGTTGGCGGATCCTGGCTCTCGCTGGCATTGGACTCGTTTCGTTTGCGCTTGGGCTCGGCTGCGTGCTGATCAATATCCATTGCCTCTTCTTGTTCTTTGGTGGAACTCTTCTCTTTTTCAGATTGGTGTCGGCCACCACCTGCCGCCTTTTGCAACTTTTTGTGCATCATCCGCGTGGCGTTGGCCAGACTTGGTTCCGATCCAAAGATTCGTTCAAACTCTTGATAGTCGTGACAAAGCGCCGCGAGCGCCGTTTCGTACTCTCGCATCCCCGACGTGACGGCCCGGGATGGCTTGGGTGCCCCCACGGACTGCACGGCCTTTTGATACAATCCCCTCACTTGTCGCAAACGCGATACCACGTCGCCTGGAGACTTATTGTTGTTGGTGGAAGAACCATGCTGCAGGACGTATTGTATCAATGCTCTGTAGGAATCTGGATGAGGTGGATTGTGCAGTCGAATGACTTTTTCGAAATGAGCTAGAACATCCTTGTGGTTGTTCTTGGAGTCCCCATTGTCGTTGCTGGAATCAGTATTATTATTGTTGTTGTTTTGGAGAAGAGGAACCAGCACGTGTTGTTCGACGAGACTCCGTTGGTGCTGGAGGATGGCTCTCCCATGAGTCCAGGACGCGTGATCCTTTTGAAGTCTTGCCGCGGCGGCGTCAAACATGTCTCGGATTTCTTCGCACAAATCTTGTACTTCTTGCCAGGATTCGTCGTCCAATTTCTTTACGGCAGCAGCAGCAGGAGGATCGGTGGCATTCTGTTTGTTCTTGTTGTTGGGTACTAGTTCGGCCGTGTCAAACGGCAGAACGACAAGAGCGTTTTTTTGCTTCTTTTTCTTGTGAGCAGCCGTAGGAATCTCCAATCCAACGACCGTAGTAGCCATCAAGGTGAGTATTCGTCGTTGCATGACACGAATGGCCGTCACAAAGAGATCGAGGGCTTGTGCCGGTAACGGCAAGAACTTGGTATTGAGCGCTTTGTTTACCATTTGCAATAATTCATCGGGATCGAGTAGTAGGGCATCGTGATCCTTGCTATTGCTGTTCGACAATAATAAGCATACATGCAACTGCTGTTGCGCCACTGCCAGACTAAAGGGACAATTTCGAATGGCGCGATTGGCAACAGCCTTGAATGCCATGGGAGACGGCGCATGGGAGGGATCATTCACCCAAAGCCACGTCAAGTGTTTGAGGTATGCCAACCAGAGGGATTCTACCGTGGGACATTCGGCAATGGCGCGTTCCAGGACGGCCAGAATCAATTGTTGTTGTTGTTTTTTGTGGTTGTTATTGGGATCCACTTGTTTGGGATCTCCATCCTCCTCCTCCTCCTCTTTGGGAAACCGAAACTTGCGGCATGCCGCTACATATTGGAGAAATGCTTTGGCCGTGAGGGCTCCTCCAAGTCCCATCCAAAAGCGCGGTTGTTCGTTCGGTGGGAGCAGCACCGCGTCGACAAAGGATTGTCGTGTCGTCACATACAGATCATCATCATCATTGTCGTCCGGTACAAAGTCGACAGTATTTTGCACTAAAATTTGTTCTTGATGCATGGCCGTGGTGACTTCTTCTTCACAGGGCCGCAGCCGCGAGAAGGCTTTGCTTTCCCAGCGTCGGGCGTCGTCGACAGCAGCTTCGAATGCTTGATCGGGTAAGGCCGTCTTGTGCTTGGCCAAAAAGTCTTTAATTTCGGGAAGGAGTCCTTCATTGGCAGTTCCCAGGGGTGTGCGGGCGCGTTGCAAGAGACTGGCCAATGCCGCATCGCGTCCCACATGTTTCAGACAAAACTGTGCTTGGACGCGATACAGTTGGGCCACAATCTCACCTTCGTTGGCGTGAGAACCCGATCCCACTTGTGCAAGGGCGCTTTGCAGTGCTTGTTGTACCGTTGTGAGTGTGTCATCGTCCACAGTATCAGAATCATTCAACGTCGACACGAGCAATTCGCAGTAATGCAACTGCAGCACGGCCGATCCCGGAAATTCATTCAATCCCAATTCCAATGTTTGCAGTCGCGTCTGATGAGCTTCTTTACTATTCAAGGAACGCATCAACTGTCCCATATCATGTGCATACTGCATCCATAACAACGGTGTCATGGGACAATGGCCACTCAATTCGTCAAAGAGTTGAATGGATTCTTGCAAGAGCTCCACGTACTTTTGATTAGTGTCATCGTCAACTGATGCTTTGCTGAGTTTGGATCGAATGGCTGCCAGATTGGTCACCAGCGCATTGTAGTCATACGACATACTGCCTCACCAGTCTACTATTAGTAGCTAGGATGGACTCGACTCAACTCGACTCACTTGAGGCAGGAGCACACTGGCACCAACTCGATCGATGCGATGTTCCTCTTGCTATGTTGCTTCTGGTGATTGCTTCCTGTTGTGGTGGGAAAGTTGAGTGTCTGGACTTGGCGAGAATGGGTTTGGATCTTTTTGCTGCGAGCAAGTGTGCGAGCCAAACATACGGTAGACACATCAGTAGGTAGATAGAGGACCACCTAATCTAGAGCAGTAGACTAGCTAGTCTCGACCTTCATCCTGACTTCACCCAGTTATCATTAGCCACCGTAGCTACCAAGCAACTCTTCCAGCTAGCTAGTGATGTGGCTAACTCTAGCAGCTCCTTCCCAACCAGTGAGTGATAGCTCTAGCTAGCAGTTCTCCCAGCCAAATCTAGCTCTATCCCCAGTACCAATCCAAGTATACTCTGCTGAGCCCCAGTCAACTATTATTATTACTAGCAAGCTATCATCTCTATAGCAGCAACTCCATGCCCAGCTCCATGCCCAGTTCCATTCCAAGTACTTCTGCTGAGCCCCAGCCAGTTAACATCTTAAAAGTTACCGCTAGGGCTACCAAGCAACCCTCTCAAAAACAACAACAACATCTATAACGGATATGGTGTCAATGGGCATGGACTCCTGTACTGGCAATCCCCCAACAAGCCGAAGCGAGGGTTGATCTATATTTGGGCTCCGCGACCATTGGAGGTGCGGGAGTGCAAGGTCCACATACATGATAACCATCCAACTTGGTGCAGATTGATTGACATACTATGCTGCTGTTCCTTGGTTTATACTGGTACTGTATTCATTCATTCTAATGATTAATTAATTGTCTTGATCGTCTGGATCTTCCAATTGCTCTACAAATTGATCCCGCGTTTGCGACGGAAGCGTTTCCAAAAATTCTGTGAGGCGTTCGTTGAGTGTTTCGAGCGTCACTGGCTCGTCGGTTTGGAGCGAGTAATGATCGTCTCGTTCGTGCAAGACGATCAGTCCATCCGGCATATCCATGCCTTCTTGCATGCGATAGACGGTCACATTGCCGCGATAATTCTTGGCAATGTGCAGCATATTCTCCGTGGCGGGACGAAGGGACATGCCATTGGGGCCAATCCATGTATCGCCTTGTGCGGGATGAACCAGACCATCCGCTTCGCGGCGCTTCAGATCGAACGACTGTCGACCGGCTGCCATTTGCGTGGCATGATCGCGCAGATTCACCGGGAGACGACCTTGCAACCGATAAAGTGTCACGGGAAGACGTTTGAATCGAGAGACGATGAAATTGGAGCCTGTCATGGTGAATTAACAATAATCAATAATAATGATCCTTTGAGCAGACGGGAGTGTGGAGGGTTGGGCAGCAGTGGTCAAGATGTTGTGGGTGTGGGTGGCTGTGTGGTTGTGGTTGTGGCCATGGGTGGCTTTGGGACGCTGGGTTTGGATCTTTGGATCCGTGAGCAAGTGTGCGAGCTAAATTCAGCAGCGAAACACGCTTTCCGCAAACAGAAGCGTTGTGAACAAGAAGACAACAAGGGGTACCATAGGTTATCCATGCTGTGACGTCACGAAGGGGGTGGTTTCAGTCCCTGTCACGAACATGACTAAAATTACTTAAGCACTTTCAAAACGCTGGCCTACCATTTAAAATGCCCACCGAGATTTTTCAAAAGCCTTCCCCAAACCCCCCGACCTCAAAAGCATGGAAGCATCGCGTCGCCGTTAAGTCCCAGCATTCCCCAATGCACAAATTAGGTCCCGGATTTTGTCGAAACAAGACCGTTGTTGCAAAGTGGGAGTGATCTAATCCTTTAAAACTCCCCGAGCATCAATGCCCACACAATAGCCAAAACACAAGGGGCATTGGTTCCATCGGAGCTTTGTTGTTGGTGAGACTTTTTTGGCAATGAAGAAGCAGCCGAAAAAGGGCAGCAGTGGTCCCCCTGGTTGATCGCTATTGCCAAAAATTGTGACCAAATGGAACCCCCCGCCAATGTGGGAAAATCTCAGGTGATGCCACCCAAAAGTTTCGGCGATAGAAACGGTGAACCGGAAATTTGGTCGCATTATCTTACAACTGACACTTAAACAATTAGATCACATAAATTTACTGTACGTTTTTCTGTAGGAAGCAACAGAAAAAATGCGCCAAAGGTAACAGTTCTTACAACGTCAGAAAACCGCCAAACCCGGCCACTCCATGTTGGTGATTGTACCGTCTTTCCCTAAATGATCATCACGACAAAAAGCACAGCAAGCTGTCACATAGGGCAAAGACCAGATACTCGACAATAGACTAGGGTACAAAAGCGGTTACTCCTAGCTAGCTTAGCAAACCGTGCAAACCGACAGCATGCAAACACAACGACAAAAAACGCCACTCATATGATACCAAACTGGTTGCCCTGCTCATCGAAGAAGATGGATCGGTCAATGGCGCCTCCCGCCATCAGCTCACTGATCACCTCGTATGCGATCGTTTCCGTCATTCGTTCTACGTCCTCGTCGGTAGATTCACCATTGCCGTTGTTCTCACCCTCGTCATCCGTATCCGGAGTGAAAGTGTCATCCCCGAAGTCGCCCCACTGTGTGTCACCAGCCTCGTCCTCCTCTGCATCCAATCTAGAGTCGAGGACTGGACAGTAGTCGTCGTCGTCGTCCTCACAACTGTTCTCTCGTTCCTGCAAGATCACCTGGAGTTCCCGCCGTGTCAATCGTACCCTCGCCAGGCCTTGCCACATCGCTTCCCACTGTCTTCCCAGGTTCTTCCTTCTCCACATGTACTCGAACAAATAGTCCTGGAGGTCGGCACCTTCTCTGCACTGAACCGGAATTGCCTTTTTTAGAGGAGTCCAGTTGCCCTCAACTGTCTGCGTGTGAGTACCGTCCTCGGCAACAAACTCGTATTTGTGACAAAGCGTTTTGTGGGTATACCCGATTCTCTCCAAACCGATATACCCTTTCCACATGTCCGTGTGAATTGTTGATCCTGGATGAACAAATGTCTTGATGGAATGCTCAAGCGTCTTCTTGTCACGAGAGTCCACCACCACAAGAACCATCCGTCTCTCTGCTGTTCTTTCCACCATTCCGAGGACCCAACTTCCCTTCACTCGTCTTCCTCGATTGTACTTCCTCCGTGCCATTTTTGACTCATCGATTTCCACTATGACATCGTGCCCTCCAATCATGTTGTTCACGTGAGGCTGAGTGACTATCATCTCCGTCACAAGCTGTCGGCAATACTTCAACCAACGCCCAGCTGTCTCGGAATTCCAGCCAAGTTGCTGGCAAACCTGTGTGTTGGTCGCTTTGTTCAACCAAAGATAGATGAGGTGAACAACCTCATTCTTTGGCAGATGACATCGTTCCAGAACACTGTTCCGGAAGAATGATCGCGTGCAGCATTTGCCTGGGCTCCACTCCCATCCGCATTCTTCTGCGGTGCACCGCACACCTTGATCTCCCAAAGAAGTCGTTGTCTGTTGAAGTTCTCCACACGGGCACAATTCACACTTGACTGGGGGCCTGTACATGCAGTTCGTCTTCTGACAACGCACCTGGTGTCTCGTCCAGTCCTGGCCCACGGGGCTGCTGCATCTGTCACACGTGGTTGGAATATTGATTACCCCTTTCTTTCGCAGGAACTCGATGGATTTGTTCTCGTCATACAGAATGTCCTTGAGTTCAAACAGAGTTGGGACACCCTCTATTTCCTGCTCGAGGTCACGTATCTTCTTGCGTCTGCTCTTGAATCGATCGGCGTGTTTGTATCGTTTCCTTGTTGGTCTTTCTTGTTCCCCGTCACCTGATGCCGACTCACTCCTTTGTGGTCTCAGTTGTCTTAGCAGGCTCCTAGCGAACGACCTTGCCGATCTAAGTCTAGCCTGATGTCCTCGAGGCATCGTAGCAGAAACAGAAAAAGAAACAACAATTCGCAAAAAGAGAGAGATAGAATGGGAAGGCAAAAGGATGGAAGCGACGGCAACAAAACAGCAACAACAAAAAATTGGCTCAGCAAAAGTTGTGAGCTTTTATTCGCTCAGGAACAGTTTTCGACGCATGAAACAAAATTTTTGCTCCAGCATATCTCGCGTACACTCCTTTCTGTTGTAAGAAGAGTTTCTGACCTTTCCCGCGTACTACACAACAACCGCCTGACCTACCAATCTGGTCCGACCCCAACCTCCAAGGCGGCACCAATCTATATAGGCGTCTCAACAACCGAAATGGCAGATCCCGTCCCTATTTGTTTGCTGTTGCGCACCTTCAATTAGGAGATTGGCGGCACCGTTGCTTCTATGGTATACAGAAGCAATGCCGAAGAGCACGGATTGCCTCCGTCGAGCCATCCTCCCAGCATTGTTCCATAGACAGGCTCTATTCAAAAGTATTCATTTACAGTAATCCGTATTAGTTTTGTCATTGCATCGCATTCGTTGTGCCCTACCGGTGTACCATACTTAGGCAATCGAATTGGCGTCGCTTGGAAGCACTCGCTCTCAAAATCTTCCGTCATGCTCCCTTTATGCATCCATCCTATCATTTCTTTCGCAGTTCTGAGATACCCACAAATTCCTTTTTGGCAGGTCGCAAAAGCAGAAAAAGCAATCAGGATCTCTGTAATGGAGCGCAACAATTCGAAGGTTGGTGGAGATGGTGCTCACATCGGCGACTCCAAGGAGGTTGAGAGGGCACCCAACGAAGAGGGTATCAACGAGGAAGGCGCCACCCGCGATGAAACGTCCAGTTCTACGAACGATGCAAACATCAACATTGAACCGCCCAACGAAACAGGTGACAGCCCCGCCATCCGTGCGGAAAGATACGACGGACAGAGGCAGAGATTCCCAGAACAACCGAAGGAAGATCTCCTTGAAGGAGAACAAGACGAAAGTGAAGCAGAAGGCCTGAACTACTACGATGATTCCGTACGTGCTGATCTGAATGCACGTTTCTGGGCGGCAACAGCCGAACAGCTGACTCAAGATTTTCATTGCCAGCAGGTATGCCCCCGTGACATATTATGTTGTTCCTTGTATTGTCTCAATCCTAACTCATTACTGAACCTGCAAAAAGCAGCCGTCGATGCTTTCCGATTCGCAGGAACAGCCTCCGTCGCAGAACAACAATGGAGGAACTCAGCTGCTGGATCCCAAAAAAGTTGTGGAGCTAGAAGTGTCCATGGACGAAAAGAATGCTGCAGAGAAGACCGAAAAGAAAGCAGCAGCGAAGAACGTTCCAAAAGGAAGCGCTACCTCTACAAGGCAAGCCAGAGACTATGGCTCTCCTCCCCCCCTTTCGATGCTTCCAGACGATGACCACGAATGGAAGCTCGTGGAACAGCTAGTGGATTATGATCAGGTGGTTGATCTAGATGAAAGCGAACCTGGGCACATCGAAGAAGTCATTGCTTTCCTCCTTGCCAAGGACCCCGATCGCATCACCGACAACGAGAACCACGTGTTGAATTTTTACCTTGGGTCAAAGCGTCCCGGTGCTGTCATTCCTATGGCCTGGGCGGCTGTGCCCATCGACAGAAACAGCCCAACAAAGTCCCCTGCCAAGAAGAGACGCGACACGAAGCCAACACCTGAGTTCTGCAGGTCTGCCGGTGGACATGGAAACAAGAAACCCATCCGAAAGAAGACACCTCCAGATGTGGAGGTCGAGTTCGTTGACAGCGATTCCTCCACCAGTCTCGAGGACGAAAGGAAGCCTGCAGCTTTGCCCAACAAAGTTCGCTTCAGCAATGGATCATCAGCGGCTGATGCCATTGCCGTTGATTCGTCCTCTAGTGACTCTTCAGATGACGACAAGAAGCCGGCTGCTGTCAAGAAGAAGAATCATCAAGTTGCAGGAGCTAGGAAGAGTACCCCATTCCAGCCTCAGATGAAGCCTCCCCCCGCAGCGTCGTTTCCCTTTCCTGACCGTGACTCTGATACTGAGTCGCAATCTGACAGCAGCACCGAATCGTCCGACGAAGAATCATACCAGAAGCCGAGCACAAAGAGAGTCCAGCGCAAGAGGAGGACAACAAAGAGGGGCAAGAAAGCTACTGGGAAGTGCACCAAGAAAGACATGAAGAAGAACAAGAAGAAGAAGGACGACACGCCAGCAAAGTGGAAAAACCGGAAGGCTCGAGCAAAGGAACGACACGAAGAAAGGAAGGAAGAGAGGAAAAAGAAGAAGGCTGAACAGCCTGACGACGTGGAGGATCCCATCACTCCGCCCCATTCTAGTGTAAAGCCCAAGTACTGGAGGAGCTCTGCGCAGTGGGAGCACGACGCTAGACTAAGCAACTGGAAGTCAGCTGCCAGTACATACTCCAGAATGAGTGGTTTCCCCGGCGCAAAGGCCATTCAAACCGTCCTCGAGACTACAAGTGACCAGAATGGAAAGTCCCAGCTACGTGGCTATAGAGTTCCGTCCCCAACTCTTGCACCAGCTGACAAAGCGTCGAGGGATGCGATTGTGAAGGCAGCGACTACAGTTATCCTAAAGCTTGCCAAGGCCTCCATCATTCGCATGTTTCGCGATGACCCTTCTCTCATTTATTATTTCGTGGACGTCAGTTCTGCTGCTACCAGAAACACCGATCGACCACCCTCCCCAGTCCACAATGCCATTGCGGCGACGATGGGTGCCATCATGGACATGTTCGACCCAGCTGAGGAAAACAAGGAAGGAGGAAAGGAAAACAAAGGAGGCAAAGGTGGAAAGAAGAAGTGATGAAAAGAAAAAGAAGAGCACCCAGGAAAGGGTGCGATTGAATGTGATACCCCAAGTGATTTTGGGCAAGAGAAAAAGTAAACTGTAGGATAATCAGTAGTAGGCCTACTTATAAGATACTCAAAGAGAGTCGCTTCTGGCTGAAAATGGGGGCAGATCAGGCCCTTAAGTAATTTAGGCCTGGGTAATCGGGGAGGGTCTTTGAGAGCACACCGGGTATTTTTGAAAAGGAGGGCCAGCGATTGTTAGTCCCGGAGAGGGGTTTGGGTGCCTCATGCCACGTCACAGCGGCGTTAGCCGCTGTGAACCGACAACAAGAAGACAACGACCAAACCAAACACAAACCAACAAACCAACAACAACAACAACAACAACAAACCAAACTCAAATCAAAATGAATTACGACGAGGAAGAACAACCCGAAGAGGAAGGAGGTGAGGAAATTCAAGCTTCGGTTGCCGAATTGGCGCAAGCACCCGTGCCAAATGCAATACGAGGGATAAGGGCGTGCAAGCGTTGCGGGCTTCTAAAGACACTCGATCAATTCATTAACGAAGGATGCGAAAATTGTCCCTTTTTAGATATGGTAAGCTATATTAGTGATGATGATGGAATGGAGTGATGGCTTGTTGGAATATGTTGCGAACGCGGTGTGTGTGACATGGAAAGATAGGAGTCTCAGTCGAGTCGAATGAAGCATTTGGTGGTGGCTGCAGCTCATTTATTTTCGCCGAGTTTCTTTTCTTTTCTCTCTCACACCCCTCTTTTCCCTCCATTTCCTTTTTGCATACTTGATAGGTCGACAACCACGAACGAACGAGCATGTGTACGACGGCATTTTATGAAGGTCATGCCGCCGTTATGGATCCGAGGGAAAGTTGGGTCGCCAAGTGGATTCGAGTCGATAACAATCTGCCAGGAGTTTATGCTATATCTGTCACGGGACAATTCGATCGCGATACCGAAGAAGATTTAGAAAATAGAGGATATCGATGGAGGTGCAAGCCGTCGGCGTAAAATACAACAACAACACCAAGCTGTTCGAAGTGTTTTAGGACGAGGAAGTGAGGAAAGAAAGAAGATGTCTTTTGAAGGATCTTCTTGGATGATTTTAGCGGAAGGAACCCAACAAACGTTTGAGTTGGAAGCAAAACTACAATCGATTTAGTGCAAATCAGAGAAACCAACAGACAAACCAACAATCTATTTAGTTGAGCAACATAAGTGCCGTACGGTAGCAACCATTCTTAGGAATTTCCTTAAAAGTTCTTAGTAGACCTGCACTTGGTTCTCTTGCTTCCGGTCTGGACAGGACCGTCCGCCCCCCAAGTGCTTGTCTGCGATGGGGGAGACCGGCCAACGTTGCAACACCCATCAGTATTTCGCAGCATGTCTAACTAGCAACTGGCTAGCTAGCTAGGTACATCGCTGGTAGAAAGCAAGAACTCTAATGTACTCAAACTCTGAGTTACTGTAGTAGCCTGGAGGAGCACCCTCTATTAATGCTCGTACTCATTCCTCGTTTTGTATTCCAAGCCTTGCAAAAGTAAATGCCGGACGTACCCAACCAAACACTGCCCTTGCAGGGACTTGGTGGTGGCCCAATTGGCCCCAGAGACAGACGACGTATTGTCTGACCAGGACAGCAACACTGGAACCTTGGGCTCTCTCTACGGGAACACCTCCACCTTTTCCTCTTCTGATAGGGAACACGGAGCAACAACTGATTGATCCGGCCAGCTCCAAAATGAGAGTCAAGAACTCTAACTGGTTAATATGGATGTACAGTAGTTGGGCGAATCCTTGCTCAGCAATAACTTCTTGAATGGACCAGGGTGGATCCACAAGAGATGAGGATGGCCACTGGGCCTCCTCTGCTCTGCTTACAGAGTTTCCAGCTCCTGGCAGGAGCTTGTTCCGATATTATTCTTTCAGCCTAGCAAGTGCTGTCAGCTTACCTCTCAATACCTTCCATAGGGATCAACTGCAAAGGAAAATGGGAGCTATAGGTCTCAGAGATGGTAACAATTCTACACTATATTTTCTTAGACTGTGGCAACATTCAATATTGGGGTGTTATGCAGGATTGATCCCTCTGCATTAGCATCTTTGATTGCCATTGGCGGGGCAATGGGAACGGGAGTGGTCCAATTAAATCGTAGCGAACTTGAGGAAATGGAGCTGGTGTGTACGAGCTATCCCAGCTCTTTTTGGAAGTGCGGGGGCCACCATTGGAGACTTGCAAAACAGACTCGAGTCAAGCAGCTGTAGCAGCCCTCGACTTGGCTGGAAAGAACGCCAACTTCCCATGTGGCCGTGCTTGCGTCGGGTACAGCTGTTCAGCACGTTCAGCATGAGACAAATCAAAGTGAGTTGGGCGAGAAATGAAGCCCGCGAGGACAATGTGGTATGTACTAATGGCAGTGTTGATGTTGGCTGTTTGCTTTGTGATGCGAGCCACTTGTTGTGCCAGGGCTATGACAGGGCATTTGATTGTGCGAGTGCATTGGTGATAAGCGCATGGACCCCTTTGTCCATTTTTCTGGTTGGTGATTCTGATGGTTGCATATTCAGCCTTGAGAAGTGTTTGTAGGGGGTCAGTGCTGGGAATGATGGATTGGTCAGGATGTCGAAAGATGATGTCTTTGACTCTAAATCGCTGAGTTGGATGTCGGTCAGTGTAGTACTCTCCAATTCGGAGAAGGTAGTGTGCAGCAATGCAAATGAGATCCCCTTTGGCTCCTTCTTTGGAGGCTGGGCTGTAAAGGCCAGCCAGTACAATGTGATGAGGCATTGGCACAGACATGGACACTGTTAGTTTAGCTAGGTTGCGGGGGATTGTCTCCTCGTGGTGGGCTACGCTGCTGCAGCAAAAGTGCTTTCCCACTTTTGCGTTCGCTACGGATTAAAAAGGGCCCAAGTCTCAACACGCTAGCTAGCTACTGGTAATGGCAGGGCACTGTGGTTGCAGCAAACTACTGGTACTCCTTAAACTACTAGCTAGTGAGAAGTGTTTCACAGAGATGTAGCTCCTCGTAGCGTCCGGGTCCTTGGTCTTTGGGTGTAAAAGGTTGAGGAGAGCTTTGTTGCTCCACAGGCTAAAAAATATGCCAGCACTGACGTCAGGCAATCATCAAAGATTTTGCGGGTTTCAAAGATCTTTGTTGCTTGCACCTTGTGGTGGCCCTTGTTGCCATGGTCGATGTCGTTGCACTATTTTTGTGTTCATTCATTCCTGTACTGGTAGTGTCCACCATGACAACCATCATGCATACCAACCTCTTCTTGGCGGTGACGGCTTTCTTGTTGCACTCTGCCTCTGGTTTTGTTCCTTTTTCCTCCCAGACCAAGTTTCCAACATCATGTTGGTCGCCGCCATCACAGTCTTCCTCTACACGGCTCTTCTTTGAACCCACCGTACCCAATTTTTGCGGCAATTGTGGCAGTTCCGAAATGGTCCTGCAAATACCACAAGGGGATGAACGACTGCGAGCCTGTTGCAGTCAATGTGATTACATTGAATATTCCAATCCCAAGATTGTGGCGGCTTGTGTCGTTCGGACATTGGACGACGACGACAGTGTGCTCATGGGCCAACGATCCATTGAACCCCGCAAGGGAACCTGGGGAATCCCACAAGGGTACATGGAGCATGGTGAAACGTCACGAGAAGCGGCCGTGCGAGAAGTTTGGGAGGAAACGGGTGTTACCCTTGATCCGGCCAGTCTTCAATTTCGAGCCGTCTACAATGTCCCTGGGTCGGTACAGTTGGTCTACGAGGCCATCTTGACCGACGCGGAAGAAATATCCAAGGCAAAACAAGAAATTGAAGACTACAACAATAATCACGGAAAAGATACGGAGAGTCCCAAGGAATCCCAACAAGTGGCACTACTGTCTAAGGCCGAGGTGGAAGACAAGGAAATCTGCTTTCCAACCGTGCAATGGGCGTTGGATCATTGCCGTTCCAACCCAAAAAGCAACAGCAGTATACAACAAATGACCAAAATGTATGACCCAGCAACCGAGAAATGGAGTCAATATGAGGATGAGGCGGTGCGATAGATAGTGCATCGTCGAGGAACACAGATCTGCCATGAATTATCTTGATGACAGGAAAAGGCACCGCCCGACGCACAGGACGCTGGAGGTAGCCATTGGTTTCCAAACTACAGTAGCTAGGTTGTCGTCAATCAGCTCGCACATTAACAACCATAGCTACTACATGTAGACTATTTGAATTTTTTGTCATACATAAACTAGTTGTTACTTGTTAGACTAGAGTTTCTCGCGGTGCGTCATGAAGTCAACTGCTAGGGACTACTAGTGGTACAGGGTTTGGCATGTGCATCTACTGGAACCGTTTCGTTTGTCATTGTCATACGTACCGACAGGGTCAGAGAATACGGGAAAATCGTCGCATGGGTGTCTTTGCTCATGTTGGTGGAGATTAAAATCTCCTGTTGTTTGTTTTGTTTTTGGAACTGTTTAGGCGCTGGAAAACTTGGTAACAGCCTTGGTACCTTCACTGACAGCGTGCTTGGCCCTTCGCGGAAAAGAAGTGTAGTTAGCGTGAGTAAAGGTCCACGAATCGAATCAAGCAACAACGCAGACATTATATTTGACTTACAACTCTCCGGGAAGCATCAAACGAACGGCGGTCTGAATTTCACGGCTACTCAAGGTGGCCTTCTTGTTGTAGGTGGCAAGCTTTCCAGCTTCAGTGGCAATGCGCTCAAAGATATCATTGATGAAGGAGTTCATGATGGACATGCCCTTCTTGGAGATACCAGTATCAGGGTGGACTTGCTTCAACACCTTGTAGATGTAGGAAGAATAGGTTTCGGTACGCTTCTTGGACTTCTTGGAGCCACCGGCGGCCTTCTTGGGGGTCTTGGCAGATTGCTTGGATGGTGTCTTGGCCATGGTTGAAAATAGAAAAGCTGAAGGAGCGAAGATAGATGAACTTGATCGACTGCGAGAGTGCTTGTTGTTGTTTCGAGGTTATCGAATTTGTGAGAGTTTGTGATGGCGTCTTCCGAGAGGCGAAGCCCAAGAGGGTTTCCCTCCATCGAGCGCCAGCCAGCCGTTTTTAAATTTGAATCGGTGGGGCCCGCGGGTTATATTTTCAGTAGGGCTAAGGTTTTCTGGGGTCGGTGGCAACACGCCAAACCATTGGCACTTGCTTGTGTTGAACGGTTCATCCGGTTTTTCCACTCTACGGGTAGCTAGCTAGCTAGTACTGTACGGTAGTGAAGAGCTTATATGTAGTCAAGCGAAAGGTAGCTAGCTAGCTAGCTACATCGTACCCGTAGTACCTGCTCTAGATAGCTATCTGGAAGATGGCTTAACCTCGTAGTATCAAGTCTTCGCAGTCCAAGCCCAGCTGTCCGACAAAAACCAACTATGCATAACTAGATGCATTGTACGGCAAAGACGCAGCTAACGTGTCGTGCATGAATGATTGCCTTGATGATACTGTGTGGAGTAGAGGTGCTTCAGGCAAAAGAAGGCAAAGACGACTGAAACGGTGCAGGTACAGCAATGGAAACGTGAAACAACCGTTCAAGGAACTCAGCAAGTGTTACTACTGGTACTGTAGCTAGTAATCGCAGGCCCATGGTGATACCGGTCTGGTACGGACGGCACCCCCTACTAAACGGATTGTTTAGCTTGGACATGCAACTGACAGCGGCATCCATTGCCAATAGTCAACCTTCAACCCCTCTACTCTACTCGCAACACTTGACGTACATGTATTCTATCGCTACCAGGTGGTACCAGTATCCCGGAGCTATGATAGAAGACCCGTTCAGCTGTTGGGCGAGGAAATGTTTCCACAGCGTGGGCCTTTTCACTTTCATTTTTAGGCGCGGTGTCCGAGGGCTCAAAATTCAAAAGTGACGCGACTTGCTCGTTTTGGGCGTGCCCGTGTGCTTCGGAAGCCCTCTCAAACCCCGAAGGCGAACAAACCCGCTGCATCGACGGCACTCTCACAAATTCTCTCAAGAGAAAACAACAACATCAAACAACCTTTTAGTCTACATACACTAATTTTGCAATCATGTCCGGTAAGACTTGACCATGGCGCACGGAACAACGATACTATCGCCGCTGTGTAATGGATTCTCACTGTGTTCTCTCTTTATTTGAACAGGAAAAGGAAAAGGAGGTCGCGGAGAGAAGAAGAGCACTACCGCCAGTGCCAAGGCTGGACTTCAGTTCCCTGTTGGTCGTATCGGTCGTTACCTGCGTCAAGGCAAATATGCTACCCGTATGGGTGCTGGAGCCCCTGTGTACCTCGCGGCTGTGCTAGAGTACGTTTGACTATGTCGATGACCCGCCGTAGCAAGACACAAACCCAAAACACTCGTAACTCATACTCGTTGTTGTTCTCTCATCTTATTAGATACCTCTGCGCTGAGATCTTGGAGTTGGCTGGCAATGCTGCGCGTGACAACAAGAAGAGCCGCATTGTGCCCCGTCATATCACTCTTGCCGTGAAGAATGATGAAGAGTTGAACAAGCTGCTTGGAGGTGTGACGATTGCCAGTGGTGGTGTTCTTCCCAACATCCATGCCGTCTTGCTTCCCAAGAAGAGCGGAAAGTAGAGAGCTACAACCAACACGAAAAACCCAAAAAACAACAGGAGATTATTATCTCCACCCACATTCACAAAGCTTACAGCCACCTGACGATCTAACTTTGACACTGACAACCATGTTCCGCTATAATATGTACTAGTAGTATTACGACAGACAACAAATCGGTTCCCTGGGAGTCGACTACAAGCATGCAGCAGCCAAAGTGGTTGTTATTGGGATTTTCGAAGTGCGGATTTTGCGACGAGCAACGCTAAGGGGAAGAAATAAACAAGTTTGGACATTATTGCACTTTAGTGTAGTCTCTGCAATACTGATTGCATGTCAATGCACGCTTTTGCCGTCAGGGATGGAAATACGGGTACCCCCAGAGGACTTTCGGACTTTCTTTTTTGTTGTGCTGCATGTGACTATTCTTTGTCGAGTACTTGATTTTCCAACCAAAGGGCGCCTGCAAATCGGAGACCTCCATCGTAGACAGTGGTTGTACATTCCTGGACATTTCAAAATGAAATGCAAGCAATCGTCAACTCGTGGCTGTGCGCAGTTCAAACGGAGCGACCTTCAGTTCCAGAGAACAACCATGATTTTTTGTAATGGTATCTTCTAAGAACCTTGGACAGATCATCATTGGGAAGAGAACACAGTGGCACGACAAGATGGTTGTCATCACGAATCCAAGATCCAGCAATGAGGCGGAAGTAATCGCACAAGAGTGCATGGTAGGGGTCTTCGTCCTGCTTCATCCTGTAAAACTCCAACAATGCCCTAACCTTGACACCTTGTGGAAAGCAATCTTCATCCTCATCCAGTACGATCAAAATCCAAAGAATTGCTACAGTACTCTCTGTTGATCCAACGGTACCCGTGGGTTTTCCCCCGTCTTTCCACCCACGCAAGCCAACACGGATGAAAGACACTCCTGATCGCGGTGAAGAATTTCATGGGGACTGGCTGCAACCCAAGCCCGTGTGTCCGACCAAAGCACTTCAGAAGCCGTCGAATAAAACATGTGGAAATTGCTGGAATTCTTTTGCTTGGAGTTGTCACGGAATTGGGCTGAACCTGCGGACTCATCTCTTTCTGCATGCAAAGACGCCCATTAGGGCCACGGTAAGTCGTAGATTCGATTCCGCACACATTGGATGCTTTTGGCAGGCATGACGCCCCAGCAAGATCCTTCTTGATGGCAACTCTTTCCATCATGCAGGTGGCCAGGGTATCGTGCCTGGCCAAAATGGAGCAAGTAGCATCAACGAAAGCATCCACCCTGTAGGTCCCAGTGGAGATGATGGGCTCCAGGATGAGTCCTCAGTCTTTTGCTTTGGGTCTGCTTCAGGTATTGCCCCATCCCTGTGAGACCAGTTCATGCTTCCGCTTTGGTCGGATATCAAACCCAGCACATTGGCTTACACCAAAGCCAAGATCTGGTCTAGAGTGTCCATACAGGTACCGCAGCATGCCTATCACACTGCCATAGCTGAAATCACAAGCTGCAGGTTCTCCAAGCTCATTGTTGCCAAGACACCCTGTGGCTCCAATGTCTACTGCTGGCAAATTTTGGCTGTGCAGCCCCTTGATGATTCTGTCGATCAGCCCAGTTTGGCTTACTAGGCAGATCCCTCCAGGGTAAGTCTTCTTGCCAATGTACACTCCAAGGAACCCAGCTACACCCCCTTCTTCTATCATTGTCCTGTTATGATGTCCTCCTGTCTTCTGGCATACAGCAGCGTGTCATTGGCGTACCCTAGCCGAAGCTTGAATAGAGAAATTTGTCCCTTGTAGAGCGGCCTGACAATGCCCAAAGATGCCGCTTCCTGCCGTTCAAAAGGGGCACAAAGCGAGCCCCGGACTTCTTTGCCAAGACGTTGGAGGTAGATCTACAACTAGCTAGCTATAGAGATAGAAGTGGGAGAGAACAAGCCTTGTACTGGCTGTTGATGTCTCTCAGTTTATTTTGACTAGAACACAGACCATTATTCTACGATGCGGTTAGTAGTTCGTCTTTGTCCCCTTAGCCACGAGCCGAGACGGGCAAAACTATATCACGTGGCCATCGTTCTCAAGATATCCCTTTTCCGGTAGTGTTTGTGATCTAGATATCTAGCTCCAGCTACCGGTAGTAGAAGGCTTTGGACAACGCTGGGCTAACCCTCTTGCAGCTCGGAAACACGACCACGGATCCAGCCAGCGGAAAGACAAGGAAGAGCTGCAACGGTACGTACCACGACAACAAAAGTTGTATCCGGACGAGTGACAGTCGCGGTTTCAGCTTTTGGACAGTTCCATCCGACGAGGTGGCAGCGGTGGGCAGCCCGCAGCGACGAACAGCATGCACCACACATATTAACTGCTTTGTCCATACGGATCGATTGATCCTTCGATTCCGTGAGTACTGTTCGCCACGAAATGGAACGTCCCGGCAAGAACACCCCGGGCCCGTGCATTGATCTCGATTCGATTGAATCATTCAGTGAAATGGATACCGGTACGGAGGAGGTTGCTTTGGGTCTCTGGAAGCAATGACAACACCCGTGTGTGACACTCCGTTGGCCGTAATGGACGGCTCGAGGCCCGACCTTTCACCACGAAGATGAACGTGTATGGCACGTTCACTTTCCGCCCCTTGTTTCAATTGACTTGCTCATGAGCAAAACGGTGTACCGCCCGCACACAAATGGGAGTAGCTACTACAGCCACGGGACGACTCGTAAAATTTGGGGTTGTATCAATGGCTGGCGAGCGAAAGTGGATACGTCTCGACTTTCCACGAAGCTTTTGACATTGCGCTTCCCTGCCTGCATGCCAACACTGAAACACGATCTTCCATGGAGATTCTTGTTGCTGACTTTTCCCCTTTCCCACAAGATCCTTCCAGGACAAAGTGAAAGAAGCTTTGTTGGGGTCTCAGCTTTCTGCATAGTCGGTCGGCTTCTGCATTTGTACAAAGGCATTCGTCATGGAGCAAGCTTCTTCGTATCAGTGCTCGGAAAGACGTATTGCGGGTTCATGATCCCGCCATATAAGGACACGGCTCGACTAGACACGTCCGCTGAGTGGTGGGCAGCCCATAATTTTGTTGAGGCCTGTGGTTGCCTTTGCTGGCATACAGAATTGTCTATAATATGATGTGCAGCAGACAAAAGGCAATAAAAGAGAACTCTCAGCAAGAACCACCCATCAACATTCACAATCACATCCACAAAGCAAAGAACAATCAAAGTCTATCGAACACTGGGATGCATCCCCGTCCTTATCATAAAAGCAAGAGGAGTTTTGGAGGAAACAGAGCTCTTCTGGAACGGTCCCTGCCAGACCAGGACTGCCAGAGATATTCAGGTAACCCAGGCTGCTGGGCAAGAAATCAAAAGGAATGGTCCTTGCAGGGACGGTGGACTCACTGAAAGATCCAATTCTTGTAGGTTTCCAAGCTGCCCCAAATCGGAGATGACCAAACCAAGAAAGGAATTGTTGCGAAGGTTCAGTGTCTGCAGGGATTCCATCAGCCCAATTTCACTAGCATGCTGACGACTGCCACTACCAGGTACCGCCGACAATAATGAGGGAAAGATGGATATGCATATCTATAGGTTATTCAAAACATGCATTTGGTAGACTAAAAAGGTGCATCGCGACCAAGAAACCACTCAACATCCACAATGACATCCGCAAAGCAAGTTGGAACAATCAAAGTCAAGGGAGCAAGGCAAAGCAGAAGCATAAAACACGTAATGCAAACAAGAAGAATTTTGAAGGAAGCAAAGCTCTTCTGGAATGCTGCCTACCAAACCAGGGCTGCCAGAGATATCCAGACTGCCTAGACCACTGGGCAAGGAATCAAAAGGAAATGGCCCTCTCAGGGAGGGTGGACTTGATGAAAGATCCAGTTGTCGTAGATTTGAAAGCTGCCCCAACTCAGAGATGACCAACCCTGCAAAAGAGTTGTTGCTGAGGTTCAGTATCTCCAAAGATTCCATCAACCCAAGCTCGCTGGGAAGAGCACCAGAGAAGGAACAGTCGTTGAGCCACAGACCAGACAGTTGTGTCAGCAATCCAACTTCACTGGGCAACCGTCCATCCAACAGATTGCTTCTCAAACTCAAAACTGTCAGCTGTGTCAGCAATCCAGCTTCTGTTGGCAGAGAACCAGACAGAGAATTGCCCCACAAGTCCAAACTCGTTATATTGACTAGTCTTCCCAATTCGGTAGATGGTAGTGATCCATGGAGAGAGTTCTGAGAGAGGTCCAGGATTTTGATGTTGGTTAGCAGTCCAAACTCACTGGGCAAAGAGCCTGTGAAGGCATTGCCAGCCATGTACATTCTTTCCATGCTGATCAGATTGCCTAGTGTGCTTGGCAAAGAGCCTGTGAAGGAATTCTCCGAAAGGTAGAGTGATGCCAAGCTTGTGAGCATCCCAAGTTGATACGGTATGGGACCACTGAAAGAGTTTGCATCCAGCTCTAGCCGACTCAAACTTGTCATAAGACCAAGCTCACTTGGCAAAGAACCCGTAAAGGCATTGTCAAAAAGGTACAACTTCTTCACATGAGTCAACAGCCCAAGCGCTGTGGAGACACTCCCACTGAGGGAGTTTCGAGCAACTTGAAGATCGGTCATGTTGGACAGGAGACCAAGCTCACTTGGAAGAGTGCCTGTCAATGCGTTCTGAAACAGATAAATTCCTTTCATGCTGGTTAACATTCCAAGCTCAGTTGGTATGGATCCCGTGAAGGCATTCCCATAAAAGAACATTTCTCCCCAGTCGGTCAACATTCCCAACTCCGATGGCAAACTGCCATTGAAGGCATTCCGGTAGCAGCCAAAATAAGTCATTTTGGTTAACATCCCAAGCTCACTTGGCAAAGGACCTGTGAATCGATTATACCAAAGAGTCAATCGATCCAAATTGGTCAGTCTTCCTAGCTCCGATGGAAGGGTACCATTGAAGGGATTTTCCGAAATTTCAAGGGCTGTCAAGCTGGTCAACAGGCCCAGCTCAGTTGGAAGAGAGCCAGAGAAGGCATTTTCAAAAAACTGCATAGTGTCCATGTTGGTCAACATCAAAAGCTCAGTGGGCAACGATCCTGTGAAGGAATTCACTTTCGTGAACATTTTCTCCATTCGGGTCAACAGCCCAAGTTCAGTCGGTAGGCTGCCATTGAATTTGTTCCCCCCAACATGAAGGTATGTCAAACTTGTCATTAGACCAATCTCACTGGGCAATTCTCCCCAAAGTGCGTTGAGATGAATACTGATTCTTGTCAAGTTTTCCATCCTGAACAGCTCTGATGGCAACAGGGTGTCCTTCGAGGCACTGATGTCATTTGAAGGCAAGCCCAAAATGGAGAGATCAGTGAGCAGTGCAATCTCAGGGGGAACAGTTGGAGTGAGATTACCAAGTAGTAGGTGACTGAGTATCAGAAGCTGGTATTTCCCATCCTTGCATGGCTCGACAACACCATAATAAAATTCATCGTAGGGGTCATAGCGGCCATCAACAACTGCTCCAAACCTAGAAGAGAACCATAGACACTCATCCTCAAGCCTGCCCTCATCTTGCATCCAGTTGTTTTTAATATCCTCAGGCCACTTGGGCCCCTCAAAGGCATAGTAGAATGTGGCCAAAGCAAAGAGTTGCACCATCCTCCATCTTGGGAGATTGGTCAGATTCTTGTGATTTGATAGCCACTGCCAAGCATGCCATTGATGGTTTGAACTACTGCCAATCCTTGCGAGAGTAGAGCTTGGGAGCTCCATCATGAGTGCATCCATGGAGCTAGTGGGGGCAGAGGATGGAACTTCCGAGGGTTCCATGGACAAATAGATCGTAGGAGCCTCCGACAACAAAATGATTTTGTCCTTTTGGGTGGAAAGGCCAAACCCAAGTCCAAGAGCCAGGACCAACAATGAGATTGCAATGATGACTAGACCAATTCTTCTGCATTCTCTTTCTTTAGCTTCCTTTTCTGACTGAACTTCCCTTTCTGCTTCGAGGTCTAAATCGTGTACTTGTTGAGCATGAGGCAGGATGGGGCGGGTGGAGTCCTCTACCACTGCCATGGCTTCTACCAGGCCCACATTGAGATCATTAGTAATGGTTTCTGGTACCATTTGAGGGTTCTGAAGGTTCATTCTGGAAACTGGATCCGAGTCTTCAATGACGGAAGTTGTAGTGGTGATTTTCTCTGTGCCTGATTCCTCTGCATGAGTAGTGACAGATTGATTCTTGCGAAGGCCCCTTAATGTGACAATGCTACTGGTAACAGTGCTGTTTGCGTCATTCCTTGCTTGCCCATAATTGATTGGAATAGGCCTGGCTGTATCAGTCTTTGTCGTGACCCCTCCAGGGTTGTGGTGTAGACCCCGTTTGGTGTTGGCTTTTGGTGGCATGCGAGCTGAAAGAGCCACAGAGGATGCATTTCCAGTACTGTAAGAGCCACATATGCTTGCTTGTGAGGGTGGAGTCACTTCTGTGGGAGGATCTGACAAGAGGGAGGGAGTTGCAGCCACGTTCACCGCTCCCGGCTTGTTTGGATTCGACACCCCTGTGATCAATCCACCGGCAGCATCAACCTTTGTCTGAAAATCTATTGGGTTTCTTTGTAGCCCATGCTTCTTCATGCTGTTAATAAGCTGCCCCACACTGGTTGAATGTGCCACCCCTCCCGCACTTGCGGAATGAGGGTATTTATTATTGGAGGACGAGGGAACTCCAGCCACACTCACAGCACCTGGCTTTTCTGAATTGACTCTGGCAGCTTGGATCTTTTCGCCAAACTCTTGTGGGTTTCTGTGTAGCCCAGACTTCCTCATCTTGGCTTGTTGTGGCAAGTGGTCGGTGGCATTCTGGGTGCGGGTTGTTTGCGTGACATCGTCCACCTCCGAATGAGTTGATGTGCTAAAGGGAGTTGCCGCCACGCTCACGGCACCTGGTGTCTTTGAATTATTGGATGGTTTGAACCTGGCAGATTCAATCTTTGTCTCAAGTTCCTTTGGGTCTCTGTGAAGACCATGTTTCTTCCTACTATTCGCTTGATCGGAGCTCTGGCGTCGATCGGAGCTCTGGCGTCGAGGGGGTTCTGTCGCAGCTTCCATGGACGTCCTTTTGTTCCTGACACCTGCTGTTGGCTCATCTTTGCCATCGCCTTGGATCTGGTTGTTTCTGTCGCTCATGATAACTTCGCTTGTGGCTGGCTATTAGCTGCTGTGGCTGCTGCTTCCATGCAGGACGATGGAACCTTGCGTGCTCCTTGCCAAATGGGTTTTGCGGCATGCAGTCCTCCTTGTTCTGTTTGACGTAATGTACCGGTACAGTACTGGTACCGCGCTTTCAATCCAGTAGCTGCGCTGTCTACTAGCTAGTACGCGTAACAATCGCAAAGGGACATTCTAGTTTTTACAGTTTTGGCTGGCTTGTAGCAAGCTGGAGATTTTGGCTTCCAAGATCCTCCTCTAATTCCGCGACGGTCCCTTGTTCGATCATTCAATCATCATCAGTATGGTTGAAATAGTAAGTGTAATACAGAATGATCGTCATGATGAGAGTCTCAACCTGATGCCACTGTACATGAGCACCATTGCAGGCATGTCGACCTGTTTGGGTGCCGTTTGGGTATTGTTTCAGAAACGTCCAACCCGAGGCCGTCGATCTTCCAATGAGCCCGTGATTCAGCCCTCTACCATGTGCTTTTCTCTGGCGTTGGCCGGCAGTGTCATGGTGACGGTCAGTGTGGTATCCATCATTCCCGAATGTTTGCGAGATGACGACTATGACGGAGATGATAAATATCGGATGATACCCTTATGGTCCATGACGGCTCTGATTCGAATGGCTTGTCATATTCTTGGCTATGTGCTCTACTTTCTACTCGCCAAGTTTGCCTTTCCAGAACCAGACGAAATTCTGGGACTTCATGCCAGGGATAGTAGTATGATTGATACTATCATTGACACCGAGTTGGCCAATGAACTGCTCTTGGAAGAGTCTTGCACTCATGATCCAGTCGACAACAAGGTCACAATCAAAGAGGTACCTACCACGAGCAGTACTACCACAAGTACTACCCCCGGCAAACTATCCCCTGTCCGAACAGCGGCCCGCAACAGACGAATGGAAAAGGGCACTGCTGCTGCTGCCGCTGTTGTTGTGAGTATTCCGCCAGTACCTCCCACCAAAGAAAAACCAGACTTTTTCCGCCACCTCTCTCGATTATCGTCCGGAGCCGACTTGGAATCCACCGAATCGAGGAGGGCCTGGCGAGTGGCCATGCTATTGTTTTTATCGTTATCCGTCCACAATTTCCCCGAAGGCTTGGCCGTGGCGGCGTCGGCCATGGAGTCGCCGCAATTGGGCTGGAAGGTCTGTATTGGAATCATGATTCACAATATACCAGAAGGAATCTCTATTGCCGTGCCGTGCATGGCGGCTCGCCCGGACAGTCCCTGGTTGGCATTTGGATTGTCTGCCTTGTCGGGGTTGGCAGAACCGTTTGGAGCCTTTGTGGCCATGTTTGCTCTGCGCGATATTGGCAATGACGGCGTGGAGGCAGGACTGTGGTTCAATATGGAAAATGTACTGGCATTTGTGGCCGGGATTATGATCATGGTGGCGGTGGCAGAACTCTTTCCCGAAGCATTGCGACATACCAGTCAGGGAAAGTTTCATTTTGTGGCTGGAACTCTTGCCGGTGTGCTGCTGATGCTTGCCACAGAGCTCTATTTGGAGTAGTTTACTACGAGCAGTAGCAAACTACTATGAAGCACCAATCAACAAGAGGCAGAGGAGACAACGGTGATCTGATGGTTTGCAAGACAGAAATAATCATCTGTGGCTTCAATGGAGTCGCTCTTGCTGGCCATGTTCCTGAATTTCCGGTTGTCGCCGATTTGGTGCTTCTACGTCAACGAAGCCTGTCCTCAGGTTTGCGGCATTCCTCCCTGTCTGAATCCACTTCTGACAGATTGATTGCAGAAATCAAACTTGGGAGGATGGTTGGACACGGCAAAGGGACGAGGCATGGCAGTCGTCAATCAAGACAAGGCAGTTGCTGTCACGATCTCTGCAGTTGCGCCCAGGCTTGGCGTGCATGCCTAGCTAGACATCTCCACTAATCACTCCAAGAATGCCACCTTTATCCAACAGCTAGCTAGCAGACGGCTCCAAGTGTTGTTTTCGTGGGTTCTATTGTTATTCTTATTCATGTGTGCAAATCATTTCATCAGTGTGGGTGGGTGGGTGGGTACCGATCAACCGTCACGAGAAAGAGCTCCTCGCTCCTTCTCAGCTCAGCCTCCTGTTCGTTTTGCGGAGCCTCCAGTTGGCTTCAGGCTTTCTTTTGTTGTTTCAGTCGCTGATTAGTTGGCCAACTGTTGAACGGCCTTTTCGAATTTCTCGAGTGCTTCGTTGACTTCTGCCTCGGTCACAATAAGAGGTGGGACGAATCGGACCACGTTGGTTCCAGCGGGCACCAACAACAATCCCTGTTCCATGGCGGCTCCCACAATCTTTCCAGCGGGAATATCATCGGAAATGGCTTCCACTCCACGAATCAAACCCCATCCGCGCACATCTCCCAAGACGGTGGGATATTTGGCCGCCACGGCTTCGAGTCCTTCCCGGATTTGTTCTCCACGAGCTCGGACATTGGCCAAAACATTGTTATCGGACAAGTACTTGGCCACGGCGACACCGGCGGCACACGCCAATGGATTTCCACCGTACGTCGACGCATGATCCCCAGGTCCAAAGACCGTGGCAGCATCACCACGGGCCATCATGGCACCAATGGGGACTCCACCGCCCAATGCCTTGGCGGATGTAAAGACATCGGGGATGACATCCAAGTTTTCGTATCCCCACAGTGTGCCCGTTCGTCCCATGCCGACTTGGACTTCGTCGCACATGAGTAGTGCGCCGTGTTTGTCACAGAGTTCACGGGCTTTGGCAAAGAATTCGGGATTGCCGGGTTTGATGCCACCTTCTCCTTGCAAGGCTTCCATCATGATGGCGGCCAATCCCTGTTTGCCATCGGCGGGTTGTTCCGAGACGATCTTTTCAACGAGTTGTTCCAATTCTTCGATATTGTTGTAGGTGACGTATTCAAATCCGGGAATCATTTTCCCTCCGAACCCGAATCCCTTGTGGTATTTGGGTTGTGCCGTGGCGGTCAAGGCTGCCATGGTGCGCCCATGGAAGGATTGGTGGGCCGAAATAATGACAGGGTGCTGTAATAATTGGAAGGATGATGAGAGGAGGGACAGAAAAGCAAAAGTTAGACAACCATCCTTAAATTTGTAATGTTTCTTCCTCTATCATTCCTTCCTTCCTGTTTCTTTTACTTTGTTTGTACCAAAACTCACCGTAATTCCATTATTGGATGCATGTCGTCGTGCCAATTTGATGGCGGCTTCATTGGCTTCGGCTCCACTGTTGCAAAAGAATGCTTTATCGGCGACCGAGTTTTCACACAACCAAGTGGCCAATGCGGCCTGTGCGGGGACATAATACAAATTGGAAACGTGGTGTACTTTTTGCATTTGATCCGAGACGGCCTTTGCCAAAGCAGGATTGTTGTGTCCCAAAGCACAAGTGGCAATACCAGAAACAAAATCCAAAAATTCCGTGTCGTCGTTGGTCGTCAAGCGACAGCCGTTGCCACTGACCATGGTGAGCGGGTAGCGCCTGAGTAAAACAAAATAGTCATTAGAGAACAAAAGGTTAGGTTTCAGATACCCATTCCAATATAATATATCCATCCAATACACATTCCAACATGTGTGCAACATACCCATATGTAGTTTGAACATTGTCATAGAGTTGTTGGGTTCCTTCCAATTCTTTGGACAATTCGTCAAGATCTCGAGGAGGGACCAATTCCTTTTCCACAGTAGCACTCAACACAGTGGAACGGGGAGTTTGCTGAGAAGGAGCCACAAAACCAGCCGCCAAACAGGGAAGGACCAGTGCCAATCGAAACAACATTTTTCTTTGTGGGTAGTGGTGTGTGGAGTAGTAGAAAGATCGTTGAGAAAGAACGGAGTATAGAACAAAATCTCCTAAAAAATAAAATTTATGAGATGGAGAGACGACTAAAAACTTTCTGGTCTGGGTTGGAAATGGAAATTGCAATCCAATCTGATGCTTTTGTGCCGTCAAACCCGATACTGGTAGTAGTCTGACTGTGATGGATAGAGAGGTTGATCGGAGTCGAAGGTGTTTGTAGTTTCTCACTTGGATATAACCGTGACGGCAGCTTGTCTGCTCTTGGTTTTGGTTCTGCAACTGCACTATTTCAAGAGCTTTGCCGGAAGCATCTTTTTGGGCTTGCGAAGCCTCCGGCTGCTTCCGAGAGAATGACATGGCCGAAAGATACTTAAGGAACAAAGATATCAGTCACGCACCCAATCCTGTACCAATCCTGCACTGAAGTTGAAACCCGGACTGAATGACGTCATTCAGTAGCAGTCTAGCCGAGAACGCAATTTTGGAGGGCTGGCTAGCTGGGCCTTTGAAAGAAGTGATGGGCAAGGTCCGATGTTGTTGACAAGCCTTGATCACCAGCAATCATTCCATTGCATTTGTGTGGCTGTAGAGTACCAGAATTCCAGGTAGCTAGCTAGTGGTCAATCATCAGGACAATACAAGTGCGGAGTGGACGACTGAGAATTGAGTGTCTTTGGCCCTTTTTCTCTGGCAGTCAGTGCATCAAGTCAACCCATGCTCCTGTCACTGGTAGTGCTTGGGTTTCAATTGTTGCTCTGCTGGTGTTCGACTGTCACTCTGGTTGGATCTTTCCGGATTGATTCCATCCACACGACCACTGCTAGAATGAACTCTTTGTATTTATCAAGACGACCACTGCTATGGCATCCGACAATCTTAGGGGCAGCAGCACGGTGTCCCACGACAAGCAGTACCACTGCTACTGCTGCTGCTAGACTGAGAATATCTTCCCAACGGTTCCTCTGTTCTGGAACATCCTTTCCACAACATTATCACCGGCAGGGGGCACGAGGAACAGCAGCAAGACACGTCTTCCACTACCAAAAGCCAACCCCATTGACTGTGCGATGTGGATCGTCGTCCACTCAAGATGGAACATCATCTCAAGATACTGCTACTGGTACTATCAGTAATAATAATGCTAACTCTACAGAATTCTCATCATGGGAGGACAAGAAAGATGCTGCTCACTCGGAATATGAGCACTGGGTTCGGCGGCTCTACATGACCAACATGTTCAACCCGGTCAAACTGGGCCTTGAAAACATTCAACGAATTCACGAGCAACTGGGAAATCCAATGGATGATGTAAGTATTGCCATTCCAACCAACAGCCAACAAGTGATCCAACTCCTCTCTAATTTATTTCATTTACTTGCATAGCCCAACGTGACGGTCATTCACATTGCCGGAACCAACGGCAAGGGCAGCGTCGCACTCAAAATTGCCAAGACACTCGAATTCTTGGACGACGGTCTCACGGTCGGTCTGTTTTGTTCCCCGCACGTGTCGAGTTTTCGAGAACGCATGCAAATCAACAGTGAATTGATATCGGAACAAGAAGTCGTCCAGTATCTACCCCGCATATACGAGATTTGTCAACAACACGATATTCCCGCCACCTTTTTTGAAGTCACGACGGCATTGGCATTTTTGTTTTATCAACAACGAGGTGCCAATGTGGTGGTACTGGAAACGGGTTTGGGAGGACGATTGGATTCCACCAATATTGTAGCACAGCCGGCATGTGCCGTCATTACATCGATTGGATTGGAACATACACGGATTTTAGGAGATACCGTCGAACTAATTGCATTGGAAAAGGGAGGCATTATCAAACCAAATCGACCCGTCTTGGTGGGATCGCAGGTACCGCATGATGTGTTACGACAATGTGCCCGTGACAAGGGAGCGTCGGGATATTATACCTGTGAGGATATACTCGAAAACGAAGAACAACACCAACAATCTGCCGACTACCCCGATTACGATCAAGAGAATTCACGGATTGCCATGGCAACCTTGCGACTGTTGGAACAAAAAGAAGAAAAAAGAATACCCTGGAGTCGACCCATTCCAGACGATATCCTGCAACGCGGCACATCCGCACGACCGCCGTGTCGATTCGAACCGGTACAACTCGATCAAGGGCAACTCGTCATTCTCGATGTCGCGCACAATCCACCTGCCATGCAGTACTTGATGCGGAAACTACGGACCACCTATCCCAACGCCAAGTTTCGAATCGTGGTGGGCATGTCACGCGATAAGGATACCAAGCTCTGTGCCCAATACATGTTGGAGGGAGGCGTGCACGATCCAGAGGCCATTCATCTCGTACAGGCATCGCATCCCCGCGCGGCGCTGTTGGAAGACATTTTGGAAGCATCCCCCGAGCTGCAAGGGTGTCACTATGACTTGGAGGATCGATCGGTGACGCGACAAATCCAATTGGGATTGGACAGGATGACTGGCAGCAGCGAGGAAATTTTGGTAGTCTGTGGCAGCGTCTTTCTCATGGCAGAAGCAAGGGAAGCATTGGGATTTGACGAACCTCGCGATTCCGAATATATTGCGGAGGTGGCCGGAGCCCACTTGCGACATGGACAGGAGAATTTTGCGTCCTCCTCCAAGAAATTGGATGATGACTCCTCTTTTCCGTTGCCACCGCCAGCAGCATAGTAAAACTGAAAATTCATAAGGAAGCAGCATGCAGTACTACTGCACCAACTGGCTACTCTCGTTTAATCAATAAAGAGCAACGGAAACAATGCTATGAAGGGATATCGAGAAACCTTATGGCTCTCAAGGAAAAGAACGCAGAGGCAAACCTTGTCGCCATCGTTCTTGGAAACGCTACCAGTCCGCTGGTCAGGATAACGCAATCCACAATTATGACATCTATCAATGCTCGTCAAACGCTAGGAGCTGCCAACCCGCGAAGGTCAAACCTGGGACCGACTAGCCACGACGAAGCCCGCGCTGTTGGGGGATGTCGGCTACCGTACTAACCATTGCAACCTATCCACGGAGCCGACTAGCCAGTACGGTAGCTAGTCGAATCGAATCCTTTCAAGCATCGTATTTTAGTTTATGTTTTCGTATCTCTGCGACACTGCAACGAAGGTTCACACCCATTTTTAATTGTGCACCCTCCACGAGCTACCCGCTAGTTCGAAACCGTGACAGTGCCGATAACAAAGAGGACCAAAGACGTGACGAGTGAGATCGCTCGAACCGCCCCGCTGTGATGGTACTTCTCTTCCGCATCTTCAACTTGAACATGATCAAAATGCCACTCGAGGATTTCTTGCAAGTCGTAGTCGCCCGTTGCGTCATTCTGACCCTTGGGGCCATTCTTCGTGGATGGGGGGTAATAGGAATCAAAGTTGTCATAGTCGGTGGTGTAGTTCTCAAAATGGGTTCCATTGAGAGTGTGGTTGTGATGGAAGAAGCCCTCGAAACACTCGACTTTCATACCCACCATACCCATCGCACCCATCATGCCCTTTGCTTTGCCGGACATCATCATGCCTCCAAGCCGACGAGATCGACTTCCGCTTCGACTCTTCTGGCTGTGGCTCTTTTCCGATTTGCTCTTGCCGGAGGACTTCTTGCTTCCTTTCTTTCCTTTTCCGCAAGATACCGAGTATGGGTATGTTGGCGCCATTGTTGGGGATTCGCTCGGTTCGAAGGAAGGCTTATGCGATACAGATGGGGTGGCAGATGGAGACTCACTGGGGGAACCCGAGGGCTTACTCGACTCTGTGGGTGACCCCGTTGGAGCCTCGCTAGGGACAAAGGAGGGCATTGAAGAGGCTGTTGGAGTACCCGATGGAGCTTCACTTGGGCTAAAGGATGGACTCGAGGAGGAGGTTGGCATGAAGCTTGGACTGGGACTGACCGAAGGGGCACTTGTCATCATCATCATACCCATTCCGGACTTGCTCCCACTGGATCCCGACGAGAATGCAACGGAAAGGAGAGAGGCAAAGACAGAAAGTTTGGTTACAGCGCGTAGGAGCATCATTGTGTTATCGTTCTGAAAAGAAGCACGAGATTGGTGGATTGCTTGTTTGTTTTTGCTTGGTCGTTGGAGATCCACCGATTGAATTTATGATGCTTTATGCAGCACCGACCAAGCTCAAGGGCAATCTCGACTCGTGCTCTTCGGAAACGAACGAAGCGTGAGACGTTTACGTCCAATCTGATCGCATCGACGCTCCCACGGTGGTCTTCTTATTAATTTGTATGAGCGATTGGTTTGGATGTCCAGCCATGTTGGTCGTCTCTTGTCATCAGATGATTGTTGGCAAGTCGGGCGAGTCGAGTCGCTGATCATTCAACTCCCGAGGTGCAGAATGGTCCAATGGAATGAGGGACCGGCGGGGGCGCGGGTCTCAACAGTTGATCATCTTATGCTGGGCGCAGGACCTCTGTGGAAACGTCATTCGTGGCAAAATACTTAGGAGACGATACACCGAGGAATAGGAGACGATCGAAATGATTTAAGAGACGAAAGCAATCGTCTCCTATATTTAGGAGACGATTCAGTAGGAGACATTCAAATTAGGAGACGATCGTTTCGAAATAGGAGACGATCCGAAAGATTTAGGAGACGATACCATACAGTTTACATGGTACACTTAGGAGACGATCCGTTGAGAATAGGAGACGATCCGTTGAAAATAGGAGACGTTTTAAGAGGAGACAAAAGATTTAGGAGACGATCCGTTTCGTCTCCTATTTTTAGGAGACGAAATCCATTAAATAGGAGACGATCAAAAGGATTTAGGAGACGAAAAGTAGCACGACTCGAGTTTCCACAGAGGTCCAGCTGCCAAGCTGAACGATGACGCCGCCAGCAGCATCTGGAACACGCAAACCGTGTAAAGGTGCCCCTCCTCGAAGGCCCAAGCCTGACACTTACTTGATGACGAAGGGGCTGAGCGTAAAATCTGGCAGAGGACTTCAGGTGACTTCACTCTTCACTCTCTTTCGCGGCGAAGTGCGACGGAATATGCCCGAAGTGGCCGACAGCTGGTGGCCGAAGTCGGTCAACTTGTGAACCAAGCCAAACAGCATGTAGCGAAGCAATAAAACAATTGGATCAACACCAAAGCTCTACCGCATCGCACTAGCAGCTACTAGTAGTACTAGACTGGACTAAAGCGCAGTATCACTTAGTTTCGGGCTTTCTCTGTGGGTCCAATCGCCACAGCCAGGGGTTCAGGCCCAAGCAAAGGTCCTCAATAGTCAATAGACCGACTCCAGAACTTTCGATTGCAAATTGCCATATCGGCACTCTTGATCACAATAATGACATAGCAGACGAACAGAGTTACGTGCGTTATACTTCCAAAGTGCTTTTTGGGCTTTGCATGTGTTGTTGGAGGCGACAGAACACTAAAGAGTTATTGCATGCTCACTCACACTTGGAACTCACTTGGTTGGGTTCACTGTATTGGCGGGGCAAGGAGCTGCCCAAGAGCCCTGATATTTCGTTGCCCGCGAAGGTCGGATCCTCAGAAACCGGCTTTTCAAAGCTGCCAGCACTACTTCGGGAGGTGCAGATTGCGCAGACTTTTGAAGCCGTCAAACACTGACGCCAGCTGGTCGAGGCTTCACCTTCACAGAACAGGGAATGTTCTGAGAACCAACAGTAAGTCTCAACAATGAATAGATAGCTCCTCTTTATTAAAGCTTTACTTGACGATGGAGCATGTTCCAGCGTGTTGCTGGTGAGAGCGTGAGAGCTGGCTAGATTATAATGGTTACGGAAAGCAGAAAATTTACAGGTCTACGAGCATCCAGAATTGTCTCCACCAAACTACTCCAGCTTGGTTGGTATTTACTGCAGTAAATCCGGGTTACTGGCTCCTTACTGTCCAATTACTGCCATTGTTGGCCCCCTAGTTACTGCAGTAAGTAATCCCATGCAGTAAGTAATCGGGCTATGCAACAGGAATATTCAGTAAATGACAGTAAAAGCACAGTAATTAGCCTATATTACTGCAATTACTGTAGTTTACTGCCTTCAATTGGCTCTAAATTACTGTGTATGATTACTGCTACTGAGGAATTACTGAATTACTGCCATTACTGCTCCTTTTACTGACCTCATGGCAGTAAGGAATAAACAGTAAATACCAACCAAGTACTCCAGTACATGTATAGCGCAACATCATGACATTGTAACAATGTCATTGTAACCGTAAACCGTAAACAAAAGCAAATGGGTTCACTTTCACCAATCAATGTGAAGTGCCCAACAGAACTGCAGCTGTCGTAGTAGCTCCTGTAGACTGTACCAGTAGTACCGGTACATGTAGCTCTTGTACTATTAATTATCAATAACTAAATACTCCAGTACCGTACCGACAGTAGAGATGACTCCGCCGTAGCAAAGCATTTTAAATACAGAGTTCCACTTGCAACCTTGTAATTCTTGTATGATGCAAAGACTGCTCAAACGACATATTGTTCGACTCTGACGGAAGTGTTTGCCTCGGAAAGTAATCAAAAAGCATTTTATTTAAAAGCCCGGTCATGGTTCCCGAATGGTCAGCTCTGTCAGGGGCGCCTTGGAACATTCGAAAGACACGAAGTTCGCATTTTCAGACGGCAATTTATTAAGGGAAACATGTACTGAGCGACCTCGAATAAAAGCAAGAATGTGCGTCAGCCTGCATTCCGGTTCAGGCTTTGAGGTGACACGGCGTTCTTTGGCCAGGAACGGAGATTCCGAGAATGCTTCTCAATCTGTTGGGACCACGTCAACATTGTCCCCCGTAAGCAGAACTTCCAGTTCGGGGGCGATGACCTTCTCCATTGCGCTTCTTTTCTGTCGAAGTTGGGCAGAATGTCTCTCCCATTGTTCGGGGGCGAAATAGGGGGTCGTCGGTGAAATTCAGGTTCAGGGAAGGCAAATCAAGTACGCACTTTTTCTTTGTTTTTGGCCTTTCTGAGCTCGAGCCTGTTGAGACACTTGCGGCAATGTAGAGAAGAGAGTACAGCACAATCTCTACTTCGGCGGAATGTTGCCAAGACATTCTTGCTTTACTGATTAAGTCTTTACAAGTTGAACTGTGTTTCAGATGATTCTGGTCTTTATTTTACATGTTTCTGACTGTACTGTAAACTAACTGTTAATAGTAAGAAAATCGTACAAATAGTTAATTACAGACTTGAACCCAAGACCATACTATTGGAGATGGGATGAAGTTTGTTTGGATGCTTTAGCGACATGAATAGATGCGATATCTTTGCAAACGCAAGCTCAAGAAGTTGCTCTGGTATTCATTCCACGCAACCCTTTAACGTCATCAAATCCAGGGTAAAGTTTAACCCTGCATTCTTTCGAAATCTTACCAAAAGTATGTCCACTCATCCTACTGGACAACCCCGTCTACGAAAGTAGGGGAATCCAGCACAGGATCTCGCTTAATTGCTGCTATTCTTGACTTTTCGAGTGCGATCTTGCACCTGAGATAAATCTTTAATTTTGAGCTAATTAAGCTTGAGAGCCTCTATGGCGCTGTCACAGTTTCTGTCGTCTATTCTGGATTGTTAAAACAACAATTGAAATTGGTCTCCAGTCCATCCAACCAGAAGGGTGTTTTCTACGGGCCACACGTAGGCGCTACATAGTGCTATGATTGGAATTCGGGGTCTGCTCCCAGTGCCTTTCACTTGATCAAGCTCCGATTTGCAGGAACTCTCACAATAACACAAATCGACGGTCGAAAGCTAGCAATAGCAAGTGAACTTTAGCTCCCAATACCAACTCAACTGAGACCTCTGCACTCTTGCACTATCAAAGAAGGTAGGTCAAGATGACGATGACTTGTATGGACTTGTATGGAGGGATGACCATGTTGGCGCCATGGGGTTGCAGGGTGCTTGAGGATGCAATGATGTGTTGATTGTGGCCTGAACTGGAGAGCACGTTCAGAAGATCGTAACTCACCTCTGGTTCTCCTTCTTTGCAGATTTTACCATGTCATCCTCTTCAACAAACCCCAACTCGTCCATCAGTACAGCAGTGGCCGCTTTGATCTTGCAGCAACAGCTTCAGCAGCAGCAGCAGACCGCCTCGTCTTCGTCTGCTCCTTCTTTCAACAGCGCCACCGCTCAAGCCATCTTGAAGCACCAAGAAGATCAGCTCCGTGCGACTCGTTTGTTGCTTCAGCAGCGTCAGCTGGATGAAATCATGGCCGCAGGAGCATCCACCTCTGCTGCAAATACTTCCTCCAGTCGATCCAACAGCTTCCTGGCCCGTGCTCCCGCTTCCGGTCTCTTGGGTCTGTCGAACGCAGCAGCCCTGACCGCTGCTTGCTCGGGTGGTCAAGAGTCTTCTTTGGCTGCCCTTGCCGCTCATGCCGTCCGTCGTGCCTCTTCGACCGTCTCTTCTGCTTCTGTCATGGAAGCCGCTTCTCAGGTTGCCGCTGAAGAAGATGACCAGCTGGACGAGGAAGATCAGATGGGAGACGAAGAGTACTTCAAGGCCTTTACTCTCAAGGAAGGGAAGTCAGAAGATGGGTCTGCATCAGACTCGGATGACAAGGCCGGCAACGAGAGTTTCCCCCACAAGCTCTACCGCATGCTCTATGAAGCTGAGCAGGATGGTCATGCCAGGATTGTCTCCTTCCTGCCTTCAGGACGGGGCTTTACCATCCACAAGCCCAAGGAATTCGTCTCCTCCATCATGCCCAAGTACTTTACCACTCGTCGCATCGCCTCCTTTCAACGTCAGTTGAATCTGTACGGCTTTCGCCGCATTTCGGAGGGCAAGGAGAAGGGTGCCTACTTCCACAAGGACTTTGTCAAGGGCAAACGCTCTCGCATCCAACGAATCAAGCGCAAGTCCACAGCTTCTCGTCCGTCTGTGACCGCCTTTGCCCAGCGCTTTGCCACGGCGCCTCTTCAGTTCCCAGTTGGTGCCCCCAGCATGTACGGTGCCAATCCCTTGCTCGCTTCGACCGCCCCATCTGTCAACAAGGACTTGCTCTTGGCCCGCATGGCCGCGGCGGCTTCTTCTCAGCCCATGGACTCGGCCTCTTTGTTGGAGATGACCCGCCAGGGTTTGCTGGCCAGCGCCCCCACCCATGCTGGCAGTCATCAGGACATTCTACGCAACGCTGCTGCCTCTTTGCTCTTCAAGAATGGCAACAATGGCAGCCCCTTCTAAGGAGTCTTCGAAGGCCAACCAGAACTGGGCTGGGGAACGCACGCACTTCTTGAACAAATGTACATTCAACCAGGAAGCTGAACAGTTAGTTTCATCATCATCAAGACACATTCCTTCCTCTGCTTCCAAAAACGTTTCCGGCACAATACATTGCCGTATCAATCATCAATATCCATCCGGCTATGCTATGCTACGCTACTACTACTCTACACTGCCATATCCTTTTGCTTGCTAGCTACCGGTATCTGTGGATGTTTGGGTTCAAAGTCAACCCCAACACCACCCGCCCTCACCTGTCACTCATCATCATCATCATCACCACGCCTTGTTAAAAATACACATACTAATTCTATACTAAGCCTACATGCATTTGCTGCCACTTTGCCTGCTTTGCTTCTATCATAGCCTATCAGTCTAGCTACTAGTAGCTCTGCCAGAGACCGCCTGATAGTACATGCAGCAAGCCAGCAGCCAACCTGCAACCGTTGGTTACATGTAGCATGATTGCTAGACAATCTGGACTACTCAGGGGCGAGGAGGGTTCCTTCTTCCAACCTACAGCAGCTCATCCAGCTATCAATCTTACACGCACCAGAACCTGCCCGGACCGTCCAACAAGCAATCCAACAATCTGGCAACTGGCTTTAGTAACAAGAATCTTGCTTGGGGATGCTCTTACAGATCTGTTCTTTTCCTTCTTCTTCTTGAAGGTAGCCATACACAGAAAATAGAAAATTTTTAAATTTTTATAGGTGGTGGTGAGTCCGTGGTCTTGACGAGGAAGCCTGATTCTCTCCCCCTGATGCTGCCACCACGTACATGTACCAGTATTGGATGTCCCTTCAAGTGCCCAATGCAAGACACGAGCGTATTGTGTAATTTAGATGCTTTTCGTTTTGGCCATTGGGCTGGCCAGCTAAGAGCATTGTATGCTGACGCGGGCAACAACTGCAGAAGGGGAGCAAAAAAGAGGTTCGCAAGCAATAGGTTGACTACCTCTACTACTAGCTAGCTAGCTAGCTAGCAAAGTGCTAGAGATCATTATTATTGCTGTCGTTGCCGATGAGGATGCAGTAGCCAGTACTAGTACTAGCTAGCTACTAGCTAGTAGGTACACTGTACATGTACTAGTAGTACCGCAAGTGGATCGGGTGTGGGCGATCCCTTTTCAAACCATAACACAGTCACCAATAGAAACACAGCTATGCAACCTTGTTGATTGACATCGACGATGACGTTGCAATAGCCACACACTTCAAGCCATAGCAATTCTGCGAATGTCCGCTTGGGCGTTGGTGGTGATTTGCAGTGTGCAAGAATGACGGCAGAGTAGAAAAGGCAGTTGGACTACAGGAAACAAGCTACTACCTACTACTACAAGTAGAGTAGTAGCTACTTGTAGCTAGGAAACATCAATTCTTATAGAAATGCCCCCAGAAATAGAACAGCGAACCAGAATGTGGAAAACAAGCTCTTTTCCGTGTTTCTTGGCATCTTTCGGGCCTCTGTAAGTTGAAGAGGCTTGAAGCGATGGACGGCTATTACCACCTTCCTTTTCATTGGTTGCGTTGACCCGAAGATGTGGTGGTGGTCGTTGCTGGTTGTTGGGCCTTTCCTGGAGGCTTTTGCTTCTGGTTCTTTGGATACCGGAAGCGGCGACCGACGTGCGGGAATGAATTGGAAAGAAGCCAGTTAAACTGTGATCTGTGTTCCAACAGCTTGAATGGCTAAAGTTAGCTCCAACCCTCCTGCATTTTTTCGACTGACGTGTTCCTCTTCAACATGCAACAATCATTGCTTCCTCCTCCCTTGTCGGCATGCTGCAAGAGGATGTGCGTTTTCACAGCTGTGCCGTGTCATGTTGTCATGTTCTTTTCAAGCCCTCAAGCCCACCACGAATTGTTCAGTTCAGTTTGTTGGAACTCTGACTGTTCTGCTGCTGGCGCTATCCTCGTCATTGACTTGATGTGTCCATACTAGCTAGAAGGCTACCAGCACCAAAGCAGAAGCTCTCAAGGCCAACAAGTAATTTGTTCCCTTGCTTTTGCCCTTGAAATCTGTGCTGCAAAATGAATTACAAGATGATTGGTTGCAGACAAGCATTGTTGCTGTGGCTGATGATGATGATGATCTCCAGAACGGATGCTTTGGCCACTTCCATGAGCATGAAATCCAGACAACCTACCTCTGTCAATGGCAACAACATCAACAACAACAAGCCACAGCCACAAGAAAAAGTCAATGGCGACAACGTGGCAGTCAATTCCCTGGATGCCTGGGTGCAGCTACGATCGGGTATTCGACCGGATCAAGCCGAGGGGGTGTTTAGCGATGTCTTCTTTTGGACCGCGGATGGAGAACTTTACGAGTCACCCTCCGGCAAGATGGTAGCTCGCATTGAAGGTGTCGAGGCGAGTCATGCCGTCCGTCTCCATGACAACATGGTGAGGATCTTTAGTCGCAAGTTGGTCTGGTTTCTAGATCCCGACACGTACGAGATCATGGACTCCTACCAAGGAAAACCAGTCAAACCCATTCGGTATGATGCTCAAGTCTTTGATTTTGAAATAATGGGCAAAAAGAAGAAGACTCCTGTTGTGGAGGAGCCATTATTGCAACCCATTCAACCCTATGTTGTCCGTAGTGCCCGTGTGGTACCCTGCATGCCAATCACTCCACGGTGGGGTGGTTGTTCGGACATTCTCATGTTCCAAGTACCCCTGTTCATAGATATTGACATTCCCTTGCCGAATGGCCAAACACGGCGGTATCAAGCATGGGAGTTTTACGACTATTACTTGGATCATAGTAATGCAAACAAAAAACCACCCGTGCTCTCGTGGATGCGACAAGGCAACACGCCTCCCTTTTGCATGGAGGGGAATGGTGTCATGCATGCACGCGGTCATCGCGTTTCCAAGTTTCAAGATTTGCCCGAAACGACACAAGAGTACGTCAATGAAAACTATCCACACTTTCGTGGACCACCCAATGACATGGAGGAAGTGGATCGGCTCTTGGGAGAAGACGAAGAGAGCTCATAATGGCGAGGGATGCATAGATACCGTACTACCAACCACGCTTGGACAAAGACATTCATACAGACAGACAATGTACATACAAAATTTGCCTTGTGCATATCAGTGCTAACGATGTGGGGAATTCGGACGACGACAAGTTTCCTGATTGTTTCGTTTCCAAGGTAACTAACTAATGGGTCAGCATGCAATAATGTCGGACGAAGGGCACGGTGCCAAGTCCACAATGGCATGGCATGCCACGGCATGACATCATTCAAACAACATTGCACATATTATGGAGGCCAGCAACCAGGATAGAGTTTTTTCGTTCAATTTTGAAAGTATAGATTCTGCTCAAACAGTCTTCCAACTCTTAGCTGGGCTACCGTATGACTAGTGGCTACAGTACAAGGACCATGCCACGCTGGTCCTTCCAAAAGCAGATGGGTAGCTATTATCATGATGAGCACCTAGCCAGCCGAACCAAATCAGAGGGCAGGAGAAATGTTTAGGGCATGTGTTCTCTCTGGTAGGAAGTTGGAACAGATCTTGATACCGTAGTCGGGTCACAGCAGCATCTCTATCATCACTCAGGTTCAGACACATCCAGCTATAGTAGTCTAGTTGAGGATGGCTTTGTCGTGTTCTAACCGGCCGAAAAGACAGCATCTTGCTTCCTTCTTACGGTGCCCCGTCAATCCATCAATCATAAAATATTTTTGTTGCTTGCTGCATCGAACCCATCAGCAGCAAGTCTTCTTCCAGATCGCTGTCATCATCGCTATCATCACTATCGTCGTCATCGGAAGATGCAGCGGCATTCATCAATGCTTGTTGGAGCCGTTCCAGAGCTTGAGCATCTTTGTTCTTTTGCAATGGACGCCCGGACGCCTGCTCTACTTTGACCAATGATTCCATCAGTGCTTGTTCATCCGTTTCCAACTGCTCCAGTGTCTGAACCAACACACGCTGCTGTTTCCACAGTTCTTGATACTCGTCGTCCAAGCGCTTCAAACCATTCAACAGATCTTGCTCGCGGGGTCGTTTCTTTGTTGTTGTGGAAGTACTGCCTTCATTATTATTGGTGGCAGCAGCATCGATGGCATTGGTTTGGTTTGTTCCGTTGTTACTATTTCCTGGCATGGTTACAACAGCTCTTGCAACATAGATCCAATAATTTCAAAGGTGTTGTTCCCTTGGCATTGGCTGATAGGCGTGGAATGGGGCGGGCGAGAGTTTAGATCGCGCAGTCATGAGTCACGCCAGTTAATCACGTTGATGACGTTTAACTCTCCAGAAATCCCGAACACCCCCCCAATTGACCCCCACGATTGACACCCCGTCTTTCTCGCTGGTTACTGGGCCATTCCAAGAGTATTCTATGTCTTTATTCTATTCAAGAAAGATAGAACCTCCATTTATCCCAAATTACTTATGAAGCATCTTACTCCTGGGCCTTCACAACCTGGTCAACACGAGTTTCTACGCTATTTCAGTACCAAAAAGCTCTCATACCGGTTTGCACATACATAAGGTCATTCGTATAAGACGGTTGGTAAGAAGTCGTAGAGTACCGATAGGGCTTAGAAAGTCCCAAGGCCAGAAGTGATGCAGAATGCCTCTTACTGAGCCACTGATAGTCTTTCTTGAGATCCAGTGTCTTTCAGCAATCTTTTTCACTGTTTAATCGTATAGTAATCCTTTGGGCCAGGGTCATTGTACGCTTTCGGTTTCCCAGAATGTGTGACGGTCACATTTCTTTCTAAGTCATTGGATTGCCTAGAGTCATTTCATGTTGGAGGGAGGGTCACAGTGTTGGATGCAGTGTTCCAAAACCGGCGTGATCGGGCGGTATGCAAAGCACGAGAGCCAAAAGCACGAAAAAGTCCAGGTGTCGTGCCTTGTTTGGTCACCGGCCCGTCCCAAATTTCTCTCGCTCACATCTCATTATTTGTGTCGAGCTGCGCCGTATCGATCACTCCCAACAAAATAGCGAGAATCGGAACCGAAATCCAAATCCCTCCCAAAGAAAATAGATCACCAAGCAAAGAGGCAACCATTGCATCCTACCAGAGAGCCCAAAGCATCGTCTCGTCTCTTTCCCAGTCAGATATCTCTCTCTTGTGTGGTCAAAGCGAAGCACTTTTTCTTGCACATCTCAAGCATATAATCCGCTCCACTCCCTCCAAACCAAGCCAAGACAAGAAGCTAACAATCCTCCCTCCGCAGCATCCCTACTCTACCCTACCCTATCACACTACACCACAACCATGTGCAAGACATGTCCCAAAGACGATTCTGCCACGACGGCGCAACGCACGGCCTTTTGGAAAAAGGCGATTGAACTGAGCGACCAGACCAATTTGCAGATTGAAGATGGCGCTCACTGCTGGGTGTGTTTGGATGGGGACGACTTGATGGAAGGCGACGACTCGTCTAACACTTCGACACCCAGCCAATTGATTCGTGGCTGTGCGTGCCGCGGTACCGGCGGCTACGCGCATCCGGAATGCGTGGCCAATTGGGCATACAAAGAAGACGAAAAGCACTACACGGGCACCGCCATGAATTCCTTCAACTACTGGAGTACCTGCCCCACATGCCGCGAATCGTACACGGGCACCATGGCCCTGCGCATTTCGGAAATTCTCTGGCGTCAAATCCAACATTCCAAACATCCTCTTAGTAGTGTCCGCTATTTGGACGCACTCGCCAATCACGCCAAGGCGGTGCTCTGCAATGGTGATGCCGAGTTGGCACAAGAACTCTATGCTCACTTGATTGATTTGACCCGTCAACACGGCGTCCGATTGCACAATTCGGACAATTTGACCAAAATGGCCATTTGCAAACAATTTTTGGGAGAATTCGATGCCGTGCCGCCTCTATTAGATGAAGCCATGCAGATTATTGTGGAAGAACGCGGCACGGATTCGTCCGAAGCCATGTTTATTCGGTACTCGTACATTCAGTACTTTTATAATATTGGACAAATCCAACGGGCCATTCCACTCATTGACAAGGTCGAAGCCAAAAAGGACGTGTTCCTCAAACCGGACGATCCACGATCCATTCGCATTACCAATACATTGGCCATGGTCCAGTGCGAGCTGGGAGATGACGACAAGGCACAACGGTACGGCAAGGACTCGTACGAACGATCCAAGCGTGTGTTGGGAGAACATCATCCCGAGACGTTGCGATACCGAGGATATCTCGATAGTATCGAACGAATGGTTCGTCAACGACGTACCAAGCGACAACGGTGTTAAATGCGCACACATCATTGATTGATTGTTTTACCTGCGATTGGTCGGTCGAGAGGATGATTGCGTCCGCAAAACCGTGTTAAGGACCATCACGACCGATCTTGTTTCCATTATCATACTACTATTACACTTGACTTACTTGCAAAGCACGAAATACTACCACTACACGTACAGTACCAATAGTTACAATAACCTTGACTCACTACTAACAACAAAAATAAATAATACCAAACCAAACTAACGAAACAAGCATTCAACTATCATAGCTAGCCGCTTGTATACGCAGTACTGTATTGCTTACGAACATTAGAAAGCAAAGTCGACCGAGTGCTAACGGCTCGAACAACTGGAGGAAACTGGATCCTTGTGTGCTTTCGCCAAGTTCGTCGTGATCGGCTCGACCACGATGCGCCATGGTGGACGATTTTGGCACGACGATTTCGTGGGCTCGACTTTTTAGTTCGCGCAAGCAAGGAACTAACGAACTTGACACAAACTATCTTGTGTTCGTTCAGCAAATGCTGGACGAATCGAATCGAAGAAAGCAATCGACCTCTCGACATCATGTCCACGGGTTGAGTCGCTACTCGCTCGCCGGTGTCTGCCAGTAGGCCAATGCATGCTGGACTGGACGAACGAACGAACAAAAGCAATCCACATTGCACAGACTCGTTAAGGTCTCCCCAGGCTTGGGTCCTGGCTCTGAGGCGCCTCGCGCCGGATATCATCTCTAACTCAAGGTTAGTATACTTGTTTCGCTGGCAATGCATACGAGCTAGCTAGCTGGCTGGCTGCGGGTAGATCTGTTGTTGCCCACCACACACACACACACACACACACAACACTCAACGTACACACACCTACACACACACACACAAACGGCAGGGAATTGCATTAAAAGGGTCAAAACGTTGATTTGATTTGGGCAAAGCAAACGATTAGTGATTGCTGCGGGGGCTGCTGGATGGAGAAGCTCCACTTGGGGAGTGCTGCTGGGACTGTGGGGCCACTGCTAGCTGGATTGTGCTGCCTACCGTAGAACTTAGACGCAAGTGAATGGGGCAGCTGATGGGCTGGGGCTTGGACTGTTTGATGGTGCAGCTGATGGAGTGTTATAGCTATGTACTGGGGCTGCTGGATGGTGTAGCTAGCCAAGTTTCGATTGTTCTCTCCAGCGAGGCAGATGGTTTCGAATGTATTCTCCAACAGAACTACATGTAGCATTGCAGCTTCCTCGCATCCTGCTTTTCCCAAGTTTTCCAAAAAGATAACGCGTCCGGCGGGAGCTAGTCTCGTTGCCCGTATCGTGAATCGAATCCGTTTGATTGCGGCAGACGATACGGCTATTTTTCAGCTAGCTACTAGCCTGCGTCAGATTGCTAAACGTGCCGCAGTAGCCTGGCAGTACGGCAGATACATCTATAGCCAAAAGTTACTTGCAGAACGAGAAAAAGTGTGCACGCTCCTAGCTAGTAGGACATACAGATAGATGAGCCACGGCTCTTACAGACAGGGACAGTCACAGCCACAAAGCCGCGGGAAGTCGCCATTGCAATCAAAGGTTAAGTTCGTTGTACCCAGCCGACAAAGACTTTCTGGGATTGTGCCAGTCAGAAGATTTCCCTCCAAATTCATAGTTGTTAGAGCTCCCAACATTTCAAAAACAACCGGGACTCTGGAACTGAACTGATTTCCATTCAGATAAAGCTCTTCCAAGCCAGTCATCAAACCTATCTCTGGCGGGAGCTTTCCAGCGAGCTTATTGTTTTGCACAGAGAGTCGTTTGAGGCTTGTCAAATTCCCAACCACAGTCGTCAACGACTGTTTCATTAAGTTCCGGCCCAAATCAAGAACCTCCAAGTTGTTGAGCTGTCCAAGATCAGAAGGGAAACGAAGGAGCCAATTCCGGGATAGATCCAGACTCGTTAGGCTGCCCAATGTCAATATCTCGTCGGGAAAGAAGGGTGAAATACGGTTACCCCTTAGGCCCAAGGACTTGAGAGCCGTCAATTGTTCGACTTCAGTCGGAACTGTCCCAATATGGACATGCACAAGTGACAATGTCTCAAGATCTGTGCAAAGGCCAATCTCTGTGGGAATTGTGCGACTCTGACCAGAAGGACGCATGGCATTCATGTCCAAGTCGATTGTCTTTAGATATGTCATGAGGAACAGCTCTGGAGGTACCGTGCCGTGCAGCCTATTGTCTCGAAGCCGCAAGTGAAGCAATTTACCCTCTTGGGAGGAACAAGGGTCAACACTGGTGACTGTTTGAAACCACTGGCACTCGTCCATGTCATGTTGCAACCATCCGTCTTTCACGTTCCAGTTATTTCCACGAGTGGCATAATAGAAAGTAGCCAAGGCAAATCTCTGCAAGACACGCCATTCGGGAAAAGTAGAGAACGATGGATTTGCCGTAACATGGTCGAATGCTTTGGCTTGTGGTGAATTGGGATTCTTCCTTACGACCAGCAGTGTTTCTGTGGGAAGGACAGAAGCCAGAAGACCTTGGTTAGCAGTTGTGGGTTGCATGGTGGGAGCTGAGGAAGGGGCACTGGTGGGTCCGGGAGCGCTGGTGGGGGGTTGGGGAATAGGATTGTTGGTTGGTCGAGGGCGTTCCACAATATTGGGTTGCCGACGTATCGACAATGCCACTGCAAGAACAATGACAAAGGTAACCAAAAGACAAACAATCAAGGATCCACACAAGATATCCTGTCTCTCAAACTGCTTCAAGAACGGCACGTTCGTCCACCGCCCCTCCGTCTCGGTAGCTCTGTCAGGTTCTGCGGGAGTGGCCCGCTGGAGAGCTTCCACATCTGCATTCGGTGCTCCTGCCTGAGCATGGGCTCCCGGTTGGGGTCCAGAAGGATTGGGAGGAGGTTTGCGGCCATTGAACATGTTCAACAAGCTTTCCCAATAAAAAATAAATGAGAAAGGGCTGTGTTGTTGTCTTGGAAGCAAAAACAGAAGGACCAAATCACGTCTCAGGCTGAAAAGGGGGCGAGGAGGGTCAGAGGGGCAGCGGATACAATAGCCTCACTTCAGAAAAAGGGGTGATCGCTATTTGGGGGACTGTCCAGCCACGGTGATGAGAGCCACGTGGCCACGTGGATCGGTGCCGGTGTTATTCCTGCACTACCGGTGGTACCAGTAGTACTAGTAGATAGCTAGTACAGTAGTACCTTTTTTAGCCGTACCAATACCACGTGCGCCTCCTGCAGTCAGCTCAACAGCCAAGCTGCATGGTACCAGAACCGACTTAATTTCCAGGCCTCTCAACCTTGGCGCTCACCGGTACCGGTACGGGGTACGCCACATTAACCGTGTGGCATACAAGCTAGCTAGCACACAAAAGCAGTGGCGGTTGATTGTCCTTATTGGAAAATCACCAATCACCATGTCCATGTCTATTGGAATCCATTGTTCTTCAATGGTGATTTCTCTATGACATAGTACCTCTTGCTGCTCAGCTCAACTCCCATGCCCATCTGCAGAGGGTCGCGCTGTCTCTGGTATCACAAGCGCCATCCATAGAGCACCTGCAGCTGCTACACCAGCCACCACTTGAAATCCCACTGAAACTGAAAAGTGATCTGCTAATATCCCACTAACCCAGGGGCCCAGCAACAGTCCTGCATCTGTGCACGTTCGAAACAGGGCCAAAAACTTGGCACGATCTTGGCCTCGTGAAGGCGATGCGTCTCCAGCCATACTCATGAGCAAGCCACTAGAGAGTCCATTTCCCAGACCAAATCCAGCACTTGCCAAGGTCAATGCTGTGATTGAAGTTGGATAGATCTTGGTGAGAGCGGGGACTGACGCCGAGGAGAGCCCCATGATGACAAGTGCAGGGATTCCTGAGTACTTTCGTCCATGACAATCAGCGAGATATCCAGCGACAGGAAACATGGCTGAGTCCACAAGAAAGGTGATACTTGTCATAATACCAATGGTGTGAGCATCATACCCGATCTCCATGGCTTGGAGAGGAAACAGTAGATGCCGCGCCTCTCGCACGATTGATGCGAAAAAGCCAAAGACAGCCAGGGCCATCAGGATCCATCCATGCCGCCGAAGCAGTTCCAGCCAACTCATGTTGGATGATGGGTCATTTGGCTTTCCATTGGCAGTCGCAAAAGCGTCATTGTCACCATCATGGTTGCGTCCGTCCTCTTGTATAGACTTGCATTGGGATTCATTTGCTTCGACTTCACTTGTTTCCGCGGCAGTGTATCCGTTAGGATGCTGATGCGTGACATTTTGGTTCACCCATAGCTTGATTCCCAGCACCACAGCAGCATTGAAAACCATGAGCACGGCCTGACACCAAAAAGACCACTGCGCTTTTGATTTTGTGGCAACAAAGCCCCCAAGGTAGGGTCCAAAGACTGACGCAATTCGGCCAACGCCTCCCAACGTAGCCATGTATCTTCCCCTGTTTTCTTTTGTAGTAAGTTCATTCAAGAGCGTCTGTCGTCCAAGGACCCAGAGTGACCAACCAGCTCCCTCCCATAGCCGAAACGCTAGAAAACCCGTGGCCGTAGTTGTGAACCCAGCCACAGCGTAGGCACTGGCCAATATCAGGCAAGCGAGCACTATGGGAAGCAAGCTTCGTCCATCGAGATTGCTGTTGCTGTTGTTCTCATAAAACAAGCTCACCATCCAACCCAAGGGTACATTGCAAATCAATTTTCCGAACGCCTTCGCTGCTGCCAAGCTGCCAATTTCAGTGGTTGATGCATGGAGTTGATTCTTGGCAAACCAAGGCAACACCGGCACCATCATTTTCCCCGCAACATTTGATAGAAAGGATGGAATGAGGAGGAGCAATAAAAGGACCTCTGACAATTCATTTGTCTCTGTTCGAGTCGTTTTCATACATGTATCAGCGCAATCGGCCTGGACGGCAGATTCCAGGAGAGGTTCGCCTTCAGTTTCATCCTGAATTTTGCTTTCTTGCGGTTGGTCCTGAGATCCCCGCACCGTCAGCTCCAGATCTCCGTCCATGGCCAGATGCAATGTATGTGTCGAGCTGAAAGCAAGTTTCTGTTTCTCATCTCAAACAACAACATCGTCAAAAGCAACAAGCAAGTCGAAACCCACGTCCCTTCAAAAAGGAAAAGTCGCACTTTAAATCTTTGCGGTATTCGAAGCCAATTGAGAGGTGCTAATGGCGACACTCCGAGCTCGTCGATACAGTAGATCGTGGAAGCATTGCTCAGATATCGGCTTCATGGGCCTTCACCAAGCGACGGGAGTACTCCACCACAAGGTGGCAGCTTTTTTAAGCAAGTACTGATGGTGGCCATGTACACCCCCTTCTACATGGGCGCATATGGTTGCCTTTGCAAGACAGTTACTGCAGCGGTATCACTCGTGTCAGCAATTGCTGGAAAACGGGACAGTACAGTCCGGATGTTGATGACCCGGAACTGTCAAACCATTTCTCAACATCCGGCTGGGAGCTGGCAGCGCTCAGGTTTCACGTTCACCCTGGAGTTGCCAATCCGGCGAAGTGTGCAGCAACGCTCAAGATGTTGCAAATGCCAACAGAAGACCCCGATCGCTTTCTGGAAGATACCATACAACGACGGATGAAAACAAACTATACATCAAGTTTCGAAAGATCAAGAAACCCCATCCTCTGGAAGCACGGGAACCAAACAATGACAAGAAGAGGAGCGAGTTAGATTCATACAACAGCCTGTCAAGAGAGACCTCAAGCATCTTGAAACAAAAGGAATTGCGCTCGTCTAGAAGCGCCCATGGCAGCAGCAGCCATACTTGTTCCCATTCAGGGACAATGTAGGCTGTATTTCAACAGGTAGAGGATTTCTTTTATAACTTTCTATAGCTCACGCCTACCCTTTTGCTGCCACAGTTCAATAGCTAGGGGGGGTACGTTGCATAATTCATACCCCCTCCTGCCTTCTGTTCTACCGTACGAACCGTACAGCACCCAACAAAAGCCAAGGTATTCCCATCACATGGGGAGGCATGATAGTGTCGTTTTTGAAGAGCCAAACAAAAACATTTCCAGGCCTCAGCGGGCAGCTACCGAAGTCTGGGAGAAGACGATGGGCAGAAGCTGTTGCTCAAGCAAAAGTGTCCATCAAACAGATGCATGTGACTAGAATCTTGACCTCTTTGCAAACAAGCCCTTGACTGACCAATCCTAAAGAAGGTGATCGAGAAAATGGCAGAATCAGCCACTTTTGTGAATTGTGAAGCACCTCGATTGTGCCATGTAGACTGAACGGCTACCAGGTACCGGCAAGTCCTGGTGTGGTGCTGAGGCCCTGTTGTTGGTCCTGGTGCAGGACCAATGCTTGAGCCGGTATGTCATGGTTTGGGGCCGTTCATCTTTGCTCCTCATCAGTCAACCTCTTTGCTAGTAGCTCATCCCATGATGTAACTTTGAAACTGTTGAAACTCAGCTCTGGCTTGCAAGCAGCGCTTGAGCTTGCACTTCCTCGGAGGGCCTTGCAGATTTCCAAGGCATTCCCCCCAGACACTGCCGTCCCCTGAAAGTCCAATAGTAGGCTCTCCCATGAATGCAAGAAGACCGATCCGAAACCCTGAGCCAGGCCTGCCACTGATGCTACCCCCGGGCAGTGGGAGAAGTCCAAATGGAGCACTTTCAGCCTTGGCATGCGCTCCGGTGAAATTGCTGGGACGTTCGGTGATTCCAAGTACTTGTTCCTTTTGCACATTAACCTTAAATCTAGGAGACGGGGAAACGAGCACGATTCTAATGTGCGTTGCAAGAGCTGAAAGACAGGAGCAAGTTTGAGTTCAGGACGCGCTCTCCATGGTCCCCCAAAGTCCGAGGCGCCTTACTTACGTTCACAGATTTCAAAGCATTGCAGTAGGAACAATCCAGTTCAAGATATTCCAGCGCAACAAGACTTGCAAGGGCTTTGGCGAGCTCTTCCAATGAAGATAGCATCCGGTTTCCAGACAATCGAATCCGCAGAGTTGACAGCCCCGTTGTTTGGCTGAATCCGCTCACGATTGGATCAATGGTATTCAGATTGCAATCATCAAGCTTCAATGACAACGTTTGCAGCTGCGACATGTTGCCCAGGGCGGCACCAAGACTTGCAACCGCTGTAAGTGGAGTGTAACTGAAATCGAGGTCACATTTCACCAAATTGTGAGCTCTGGCAAGACCATCCCAAAAAGTCTGACACAAGATCAAGCTCTCGCAATCTGCAACAGAAAGGTCCAATGATTTCAAATGCTGAAGCTTTGGAAGTACCTGCCCACCGAGCCCATCAATGGATGCGAGCCGTTTACAGCAAGAAAGGTCCAAGCATAACTCTTCCAGCTGTAGCAGCTCTTCCAATGCCGTCCATAGTTGATTGCATTGCGTCAAGTGTTGGCACCACGACGCCACCAACTTTAGACGCCTCAGTCCAAGGAACGCATTCAGGCCAGAAGAGAACTCTTCCGATGATTCGAAATCAATAAACCCAATGTCAAGCTCCAGGCCAACAAGTGTATTGGGAAGGGCTGCAATGAGAGCCTTTGCGTCGTAGCGAAAGGGTTGGCAACCGCGCACATAAATCAACAGTTGGCCATGAGAAGAAGCACCAAAGGCGTGTCGAAAGACACCCAGCTCGTTGCCCCCGTTCTGTAGAGCTGTGCAGTACGTCGCTTCCGCAATTCTGGCGTGAAGCATAGCATTGAGCTGATCATATTTCTCGTGGCAAGCCCGTGCCTCTTTGTACAAGTTATTTGCTTTCTCCCCGATGATACAGTTCAAGATAAAGGTCCGGTCCTGCTCTACCGTAGCAACGGCTTGTTCCAGTTTCAACGCCAGAGCTGCATGACAGGTGTGCAGAGGGAACGATGCCAGCCGGCGGAATCGTTCATTGCATGGCACTATATGATCCAGTACCCCCGAAGGTTCCCGTGCAGTGCCATTGTCATCCCGAGCCACAGTATAAATATCATGGAAATATGGCTCCTTCTTGTCCTTCCCCTGTCTCCTCAGATCGTTCATGACCATGTGCAGCTCGAAAACACACCTTCACTTGGGTGAGACGAGACTTGCGCGCGTTGCTGGAGGATGCACACGTCCCTTTGTTCTCTTACCAAATCCGACTAAAGTAGACAGCGCCACTGTCCAGAATGGACAAGGTTCCATTTGTCAACTGCATGGCCTTGAAAAAAGGTGTGGCTTTGGGATCCGCCACGGGCAGTTCCCCTAGTACATTGTGTTGATTGATCCAGACAGGCCAGAAATGCCAGGAGAGACTCCCCCCAGTAATGACTTGTGAAAACAGTTGGGATTTGTTCTTGGGTCGCCACCAGTTCCACATAGCTGCACGCCGACGCCGACGTGAGGGGCTTGACATAGTGGTGCATTAAATCATACAATGTGACTTGTTCCGGTAACAGAAATTGGCCGTCTTGGTGTTGAGGGTTGGTGCTCTTCCATCCGGAACATTGCAACAGCATTCTGGTGGCTAGTTCTCTCAATTGCAGAATGGTAATCCCTCGATGCTCCGTTTTGGGAATGGTACAACGAGGTTTGTCCTCCATTGACAAGGGTCGATCATACATTTTGAGTACCAAGTAGATGGTCGACTCGTTGGAGATGCCAATGTCTTGGCAAGCAGTAGTGTCGCTGCCGCTGGTTGTTGATGATGATATCAAGTCGAGTGTTTTGCCATTGGCCAGGACAAGCCTGTAATCGTCCAAGGACATGTTTGGATGGGTGTCGCTGACATAGGGCCGTTCCTTCTTGCTGCAAGACGACTCGATTAGTTTCTTGGCCTTTTCTTGCAAGCTGGAAATGGCACTGTCAGCATCCAATCCCATGGAGAAGGTTTGTCCCTGCAATGTCCGAATGTGCACCATCCATTCGTGAATGTGAAGCTCCAATACTAATGAGTGTGGATTGTGGTTGTGTTCAATAGTATTGCTATTGTGGAATAGTAGTTTGAAGAATCGATGATAGTCTTCCAGTTCTTTGCCATTCCAAAGCAACTGTAAGCGTTGTGGTTGTTGGATAGTATTGGTGTGCTGTCGGAGAGCTTGTTTGATGGTTGAAACTTGATCATCCTCCTTATTGTCAACTATGAGTGGAACCTGCAACACCGATGGTTGGTTGCCGTTGGTCTTTACTTTCAAAATCACGGGAAATTGGAGCATCATCATCACTGCCTTGTGGTGGTGGTTAAGTAGGCCGTGATTTTGTAGAATCGCCGAGATGGATTCTCCTGATTGTTGTTGCAGTTCTATTCGTGTGGCGCCGGTGGCGCTGGTTGTGGATTCCACAGAATTGCGACGCCGAAAGATCTTGTTCCCATTCCCCCCATCTTCCCACGAAAATTCCTGCTTTGTCAGTGGCCAGGACGGACGATTGGGTTGTTTGTGATTGTGATTGTTGTGAACCTGAAGAAACAAGTGCATGTCGTCCAACGAGGGAGGCACGAGCACAGACTCTGAAGGAATAAAAAAGTCGTTGAGAAGTTGAGTCTTGAGCATTTCCACCGTAGCAGTTTGATGGACTGTCAAGTGCACCTTGTGGCAGCCACAAAGGTCGACTGTGATGCGAACATGATCCTTCGGAGTGGCATTGTTGTCCCTTTGAGAAATAGTAGGGTTGATGATGGCACCACCATTGCCTTGGAACTTGCGGCTCAGGCTTCCCAACAAACTTGCCCTTCTCGCGTCCATTGCTGGCAATGCTATGCCAATGTACAGTACTGTAGCGGCAACTAGCTAGGATACGTATTGATCTCCCCTCACAGTCAAGGGACCGTATCGTACATCTACAAGGGAGGATGGGCAGCCCCCCAAGAGAGAAGAGAGGAGTGGGAGAGGAGTGGAGTTCGTTGTGAAGATGACGCCATGTGTCGTCACCTGTGCCGTTGTGGCATAGAAAAATGAGGAAATAGCCTGATCCCTAAGCCAACCTTGACTGGCTTTTTACTCGGGAATAAAAGTGTCAACCACTCGTTTTCGAAGCAAAATCCAAACCGAAGATCCAAAAGAGTTCCGACACCCTCACTCATGGCATTTGCTCCTGAAGAAAGGGGACAAAAGGACGACCAAGAGCTAGAGAGAGGAAGACAGAGAACAATGAGGAAACAGCAGTCTAGCAGCAGCAAACATGAAAGCTCCAAGCGACAAAAGATGGGAACACAGGGCAAGTTTGGGACCATGATGCTTCTGTGTCTTCCATTCCTGACAACGGATGTGTCTGCCTTTGCTCCAACTCATCTCTTTCTCCAGCCATCATTATTTGCTGGGGTGAATACTGCTCTTTGGGAACAGCGAAGATCTACCAGTAATAGAAATTCAGATGGTTCTCAAAAGCAACGGTCACGACGACGGCGACCAACTACTGAAGGTACTGGTGGAACTGGTAGAAACAACAATAGAAACTCCAACAACAAAAACGGCAAGCGATCCTATCGAGTGAGCAACGAGGAAGCCAGACCCATTCTGACGAATTACGACGCCAACACGTCTCCCCAAGTCAATCAAGAACGGTTGCATCGCGCCACCATTGACTGCGGCCATTTCGACACGTGTTCGGGATGTTCCGTTCAGACCAAAATCGCCAACATTCCCACCATTCAATCGGCACAATCCTTCTTTTCCAGTCCGTGGATTCGTCAATCCATACTATACGACTCGTATGACAATAATGACGACAATTTCTATCAAGTGGTTGTTCCATCGCCACTCACATCGTGGCGCACTCAAGCCAAATTGGTGGCGGCCCCCAAATCGTCGGCGTGGTCCAATGATGGGATCCAGTTGGGACTGTATCGCTCCAAAAGCCATCAAGTCGTGGCCATTCCTCAGTGTGCCGTCCATCATCCGTCCATTAATCGCGCCATGGAAACACTCGAACAAGCCACCGCGAAAGCGGGCATTGTAGCGTACTCATCTGCCAAACGCGAAGGAGCATTGCGCTATGTCCAATTCCAAGTGGAACGGACTACCGGAAAAGTCTCCATGACATTGGTCTGGAATGCCGAAACCATCAAACAAACACAACCGGCATTGTCGCGACTTGTCAAGGAATTGCAACGACTCGACCCTGATTTGTGGCACTCTGTCTGGGTCAATTGCAATGATAGTACAGGCAATAACATCCTGGCGCGAAATCCCAATCGGTGGCATCGAATGTAAGAGTTTGTTAGTTGTGTTCTATTGTGTTGGGTGGTATTGGCATTGCGTGATGTCTTATTCATCACTCACTCACCACTGTGCTCACACTACCACTATCATCCATAGAACCGGTCCTGAATTCTTGCGAGAACCATTGCCTGTCGGTGACAAGGGATGGCTCTACTTTACTCCACTGACATTTCGACAAGGCAATTTGGATGGATTTGATATTCTCGCCAATGACGTTGCGAGCCTGGTGCCCGAGAATGCCAAAGTCTGTGAACTCTATGCTGGAGTGGGATTATTGGGGCTCTCGGCATTGGCGCATCAGGCTACTAATGATGAAAATGGCCTGTATTGGTTGCGATGCAGTGACGAGAACCCATCCAATGCACGATGCTTTGAACGAGCCGTGGATTCTTTGTAAGTTATTTACAACTGACTTGGTGGTGGTGGTGGTGGTGCCGATTGTCCTAGCTAATGGACCCGTGTGTTTGTGTTTCATTGCGTTGCGTTAGACCACCTGATTGGGTTGGCAGAGGGAACCGTCACGACCGGAAAAAGCCACAGGAAGAGGAAATCACCATTGCACAACTCATGGAACGGATGCAATCGGGAGATGCCGTCCAAGCGGAACCACCCGTCGGAGATAAAACCAGCTACATGGTAGCCTCGGCGGCAAAGGCGTTAAAGTCAGGACAAGCCCTGGGGGCCAATGTCATTATCGTAGATCCTCCACGAAAAGGATTGGAATTCGAGGTTCTGGACGAGTTGTGCAAACCCATCGATCGGCATCAAGACTCTGTGGAAGACGTTTCCATGCTGACCATTCCCGATGAAATGGCTCGATGGACCAACGATGCGCGAACACTCATCTATGTGAGCTGCGGATTTGAAGCATTGGCACGAGATGCCGAGCGACTCTTGACGAGCAAAGCGGGATGGAAACTCGAAAGTGCCACGGGTTACATTTTGTTTCCAGGCAGTGATCATGTGGAGACAGTTTGTGTGTTCCAGCGAGACTAGCTAGTAAACCATGAATGAACGAGTGCTGGCTGGCTGGAACAATGCTACGGTCCTGGCTCGCCTCGTGATTTTGAATACGGTATCGCGTTGCCCCCCCCAACGAGTCGAGTCACACTGCGAAGCTTGAGCTGTAGCAACATCTTTCAAGTAAGCCAAAATTTGAAACATCACTAGATAGTAACCTATCCATACAAATTAAGTCTGGTGGTTCGTTCTGACGCCGAAGAGAGAGTAGGGCCGAGGCACAGTACAGAAATCAACAGTCCACGGCGCGATGACCGCTCTCTTCTGAATATACGGTACCAGTAAAGGCAGACAAGGAACGAACATCTAGCCTGAACCTGGGGAGCGCGGGTATGCTTGCATAGAACTGCTGGCTGCGACACCACACAGCTTGGGATCAACCATTGGCTATTGACTATAGCTTCTTCTTCTGTTGCGAAGGACACCGGGATCGCTCGTGGCAGCCTGGTGTCGGCGGCGGTCGGTACAAATACCTAAAGATTTTCATCCAAGACACAAGCAAACATGGGATGAAACGAATAGCTAGAGTAACGGTGGTTGGGAAATCTGCCCCAAGGCTGCATGCCGTCTCGATATGCTTTCAAGTCCAAGGTTGCTTCAGAATTACTCTTACCAGCAAAGGGCGTTTCCGGGTCCGAGCTATGAACCTACTCCGGGCTGCTCCATCCTACGAAGAATGGCACAAAGTAGCAGAGTCACTTGATGGGATCTCGGATCATGGGGAACAGCTCAAGATACAGATATTGGACCAGTTCGACTTGTACTACGTTGATCAGCTGACCCGAAGCTTTGAGTGTGGTGTGCAGGGCAACGATTTTGATGCTGTCATTAGGCATTTGATCATTGGCCTGAACTGTCGCAAGGACTATGCACTCCTGGAGCACTCTGACATGTTTGTGGCTACCCACACAGGAGAACCACACCAAATTGTCTCCAACTTTGTTGAGAAGCTTGCTGAAGGTCTAGAATGGGTCATCAATGAAGTCAAGGCTGGCAGCTGTGATGACCTTCAAATTGCCATGGCGCAGCAGTTATTTGAGAAGGCTGAAGCTAGGTACGGACAGACAGCCTACTGCTTCAGCGGTGGTGCAACCATGGCCTTTAAGAACCTTGGCATTGCTTTGGCTATGCTTGATAATGCTGCCAAAGGTGCTCAGTGGATCTAGTGGTGGTTCCATCTTTGCGTGTGCCCTTGCAGTGAGGACAGATGACGAAATCCGTGATGAGATCAAAGTGGAGGTGATGTGCTCTCGGATTACTTCCCTTTCTCAAACCTTTCTGGAAAGAATGATGATCTTGTTTAGCCATGGGCATGTGTTTGACCCTCTTGAGTGGGAAAAGAGCATTCTCTGGTTTACCAAAGGACACATGACCTTTGCTGAAGCCTATGAGAAAAGTGGAAGGGTCTTCAATGCATGTGTCACAAGCACAACTGAAAAGGCCAGACCAATCTTGCTCAACCATATCACTGCCCCGGGTGTCACTGTGGCCTCAGCAGTCCTTTGTTCCGTTTGCTGCCCAGGACTTCTCCCTCCTCGCCCATTGCAGGTCAAGCGACACGATGGGACGGATGGATCTGTCAAGCAAGATACCCCCAAGGCAGCCTTGGCAGAGATGTTTGATTGCCGGTTCTTTGTGAGTGGTCAGACAAACCCCCATGTTACACCTTTCTGTTTTGAGAGTAGAGTCCTTGGAAAGTGGCGTGGTGGATTCCTTCTGGCTGCCACAGAGAAGTTGCTGAAGGTTGCAATGACCCTCCTCAGTCATCTTAATCTTCTACCTTGGCAGGCATCTTCCATTGTTTTGCAAGATTATGAAGGGTGTGTTGTACCAGAGCTTACTTTTGCTGATTGCTACAACTTCTGTGCTGAACCAACTGTGCCATTCTATTCATGGATGATGTTGTGTGGGAAGGTTGCTGCCTATCCCTTCTGCAATCGTATCCGCCAACGGGCCCGCATTGCATCTTTGTTGACGACTGGAACGGAGGCCATGCAGGTGTTTGATACTGAGGAGATCCAGGAGATTGCTGATAGAGGCCTGGATCGACCCAGCGCAAGGGGATCCACCATTCTGTGCCGACCGGAAATGGCCCCCTTGGCTGAAGCTGAAGATGAAGACGATCTCTGCCTCGGTGACAGTGAGGATGAAGGTGACAACTCTGAACATCCCAGCCTTAGCGGCAGCAGTCGCTGTAATTGCAAGAAGGTTCTTACAAGGAGACAAAGTGTTATCATGAGCACGACTCCTGGCCCTGGGTTCAGGAGGACTGCCACAGCTGATGATGTCATGTGCTGGAGTAGACACAGTGGTAGGTTCAGGAGATTGACCAGACTGGACAGCCCTACATGTGTGACAGAGACCACTGAATCCAGCCGGACCAGTTTTTCAGAGGCGCCAAACGCCAGCAGCACAACTTTTCTACGGGTTTCGCGGACATGCAAGACTTGCCCGTGTTGAAGAGCAGTGTGCCTCTCATGAAAGTTACGGCCGATGTCCATGGTCATGTTGCCGTGGACTGTTGATCTGTACTGGTACGGTACCGGCATTGTATGGTGGGATGCTCGTGCCCGTCCTACCTCGTCCCCCGGCCATGTTCTCTTCTTTGGGGAGATAGGATTCTCCACAATGATTTTGATTCGTGTGATACATGTTATGAAAGAAAGCAAACTTATGAATCCTACTAGACGAAAATGATTCCCTATAGTATGGTATGGTCTACTCGTAGCCGACGTTGCATTCACAAAGGAGCGCAGCAAGACGGTCGTTCTCATCGCCAAACACGTTGCTTGGTTCTCGTCTTCTCGGCTGGCTGCATAAAGTTCTCGTCTTTCCGATACTAGCTAGCTACAACGCTGTGAACCGTTCTCGTCACCCGCCGGTGCAGTTAGTTGTTCCTGAATGAATAAATGGCTCATGCCAGCTGCCTGACGAAAAGCATCCAAAAGGGCTGCATTGATCCGGTTGTTCCCAACCTTCTCGGTTTCGTGATGTTTGTTGTCGTCTTCGTACACCCCCGCAACATCCTCAGCAGGTTTTTTGATCATGATCGTACAGACCCAGACGTCCTGCCAAGTGGATGGCTACATGATTGTGGATTGTAGGTACTGTTGCTGCCTGTCCATCATCTATCTGCGTGCCTTTCATTTCGCTACCTAGCTCGCTATATGATCAACGCCCCCAGGATCAAGACTGGAAAGGCAAAGGGTCCCAGAATCGACTTGGCCGTCCAGAGCGCCTTTTGGAGTGCCCCTACGACCACTTGCAGTGCTTCGGTGCCTCGTTGTGTGTAATGTTGTCGTCGTTCTTGAAGTGCCAATCGCCGCTCATCATCATATGTTTTGCGCTGTGACTCGTTGGTGAGCAGCGATGCTGCATTTTCCACGGCAATAAAGGCTTCACTGGCGTGCGGGTCACTATTCTTGTCGGGATGCACTGCAATGGCCCGATTCCGATACGCGCGTTTGATTTGATCGGAGGAAATGTGAAAGAGTTTCCACTCGGGTGTCGTGATGGACTTGTTGAGACGCAAGAGTTTCACCGTATAAGCGGGAATCTGTACTTCCCAATTGCGCAATCCCAATACTCCATAGTGATCTTGTCGGGTGGCAGCATGCAGTATTTTCTTGACGATGCGAGCGTCTTTTCGTTGTCGTCGTCGCTTGGCAGCCGCCTTCTTTTTTCGCTGCTGCTCGGCGGAATCGGCATCCTTGGCCATGACGGGTTGCAGTTGGAGACAGACAAGAACAACTAGCAGGGCCATAATCAGTAGCCGACACCGTGGCAGCGATCGTCTATGGTAGCCTTTCACTTTCATCATAAAGTAGAGTGAATGAATTGAATTGAAATGAAATGCTATCAATCTCTGGCTTTCAATGCTGTCGTCTACTCTGGCGAAAAAGTTGAGAATTCTCAAACCTACTGGCTCCAACACAAATCTGAAGATCAAGTTGAGAATTCTACAATCACCCTAACCCAAACCATCAAAAATCCTGCTGCTGATTCTAAGGAGTTATCACCTTTTTCAAAATTCCCAACTTTTTCGTCACAGTAGTCGTCTCCTGCCGTTGATTTGTGATGGCTTTGGCGCCATGGTGGATGCTTCCACGTGTTGTTGTGAAGCGACAAAATGCGCATATCCTTAACCCTGCAATCATCACTGACGTGTTCAGCCAGCTAAACTGTTTCAAAAATGTTTCTGGAAGTTCGCTCTTCGTCCCAATGCTGACTCATAGTGTCGTTGCAAGTGCTTGCGTCGAGAAGACGACGATGGTGGCAGTTCTTACTGCCAGTACGGCTGTATGATCGCTCCATTCCAGAACATGACATACGTTGTACAGTGCTCACATTCGTAAAGAATCGCTCAGTTTGCGGTTGACATTTGTTTCTTCTGAGGTTTATTTTTGAAAAATCGAAATACCATGAGAATTTTGTTGTTGTCGGCTCTTCTTTCCAGTGCGCTTGCCTTTCAGGCTCCAGCCCACCCCCAATTTCGACCGACCGCATTGAATGCCCAAAATGGTCCAAGTTTGCTGGATTCGATCACTTCCCCGTTCAGCAAGACCACCAAGGATGAAGCTGCTGTCACGTCGACACCAACGTTAACACAAAAGGAACAATTGCCGGAAATGTCATTGGAGTTTTTGGACGATCAGGAGGAATCACCATCGTCCTCTTTTTCCTATGCCACATTTGCACAAGAAAATCCATTTGCCAACAACATTATGATTGCCACATTCAAAACTGCCGCAGCGGATCTCTTGGCACAAACCGTCATTGCCCAAACGCCGTTGGATGCCATTGACTGGCAACGCAGTTTTCTCTTTTGTGCCTTTGGAGCCACCTATTTGGGAGGATTCCAGTATTTGTATCAAGTCAATATTTTCAAAAAGCTATTTGATGTGGACAAGTTCACGTCGCAGAGTTGGGGTGACAAGTTGCAAGATAAGGAAGGCCTAAAAGCATTGGCGGCACAAACCGCGCTCGATCTTGGCGTTCTGACCGCAATCTACCTACCCACGTTTTACATTTTCAAGGCCAGTGTCTTTACCGGGTCCCTGGATCCATCCGTGTGGGTGCATACCGGAATTGACAATTATCAAACCAATTTTGCCAAGGATGAATTTGACCTGATTCGGGTGTGGTTGCCAGCCGATCTGGTCTGCTTTTCGGTGCCACTGTACTTGCGATTACCCGTGCGACACGTAGTGAGCTTTGTTTGGACGGCCTACTTGTCATTTTCCCGGGGTGGACATTGAATACGGTAGGTAATTATGGATAGAAGAAAAATAGTTGAATGGCGAGGCTGAGAGAGGGATGATGAACATCACACACAAGCAAAGGACCCTTCCATTCATTCCGTAGAGTGTGCATGTACTAACTAGAGAAAACATCTTGTTTTTCTGGCGGTGAAACCACGAAATATCCCAACCAGCTGCCAAACCTCATGAGCCCAAGTGTCAGGACCAGTTCTTTGAAAACATCGCCGTGTTGCCGAGACGGAGGAAAACAGCAACATAAAATTATCGTGTTTAGTTTCTAAGACGGCTGCTTCAGGCTCTGGCTGATAGTAGCCATAATAAACTACCTAGCTAGAGCCTGGTAGCGCTACTCACAAAGTAGGTACTGGATCTTGTCGTCGTCCTTTCGGTATGCCTTAAAGCTAGACAGCTACGGTAACTGGCGATCGATGGCTGCTCCCGGCAAGATGATACTATTTGATGAGGGAATCACTCCTTTTTGGTTTTTCCAGGATTGTTGGATGAATCAGGTCGAGTCTGTGCAGTTTGACGAACATAATACAGAACACAAACTCCAAAAACCAAGAGAAAGGGCATTGCCTTGAATATAATGGTAATTGTTTCCACCCCGACAACCACAGCAAGTATTTGTGCTTCATCATTCACATGGGGATAGGGTGTCCCCATGGCTAAAAGATTCTGACATTTTGTTTTGATGCTTTCCGCAAGGGGAGACACACATTTGCAGAGCGGCTCCCATCCATCTTTGGCATTAAAGACCAGGAGTTTGTCAGAAGGAACAGTGGCTTTGACCTCTGCGACAAAGTCCTTGTAGAATTGTGGCAACAGGGAAGGATCTTCAATGTCCAGGTTGGCATCTTCAAAAAGTCTCCGTCCAGTCTGGGTTGAACGTGCCATGGGACCAATCAAAGTGAAGGGAACTTGCCGACTTGCCAAAACCATGCGTCGGATTGTTTTTGCAAAGCTGGCTGCCCACTGCTCGGGAGAATCACGTACCGTTAAGACGACCTTGGCATTGGGGTAGCGTTGCATCTGCTCTTTGTAGTGAAAAACTATAGGTGTATCTATGGTAGCATTGAAGCCATCTGCAGCAATACCATCCAGAACATCATCTATTGAAATGGATTGTTCAACTAAAAGTTTGTACCACATGTCTTGGTGTCCCGGTGTCTCAATGTACCCATCAACCATATGATAAGATTTCATGTTCAGCAAGCCCATGGCTGTTCGAAAGCTAGCAGTCCCTGTTCGTGGTAGACCTGCTCCAATAACCAAGATTGGCTGGGGCAACGGCGGCTCCTCTGCCTCCATGGATCCTCCCATGAACCAATTGTACATTAAGTGCCATGTGTTCATCCGAAATTCTTCTCCCTCATGTACCACTCCTTTCATGGCACCATTATCTGCCGGGGCGGCATCAGTGGCCACAGAAGCCACTACTAGGAGCTGCCACCAAGATAAAGCAATGATCAGTCGGGCAACAACCACCATCCTCGAGAGTATCTATCTACCGGTACTGGTATCTGTATCCTCCTCTACTCTATGGGTGTCCTCAAAAGATGATCTCGAATCCCGAACCTCGTGCCTGAGCTCAATTTGCGCCGGACCCTTCTTCGACTAGCTAAAAAAACTGTTGAAGAACAATTGCAATAATAATAGGATAATTTACCTTACCCCAGACTCAACCAAAGCGATGATGTTTTCGTGGGCCACTCAAAGGTTTCCTTTCCCTCCTACCGAACAAAAGCTTTTTTTGTTTGTTTTGGATTTCCTGCCACTTGCATGCATCGAAAGCGGGGGTTTAGAGTAGGTAGATTATCTACGGAAGCCAGCCGGGGCCAGGCTTAAGCAAAGAACAGCCGAGATTAAGGACTGTGTTCTGTGGGATCAGGGGCGAGAAATTGAGGACCAGTTCGGGGGCCAAATGTTTTGGCTTTGTGCTGGGTAAGATAAGCTGGGCGATCCACTAACTACGGGGTTACTGTGAATGATCAATCTCAATCCTTGAACTGCATCTGCGCCAACCTATAGGTTCCAACGTCGCATCTTGATGCATCTCAACTGGCAGCGCTCTCGTCACTTTGGCTCCCTTTCTATCAGCAATCTAGTAGCTACATGTAGCTTGCCAGAGCTCTCGAGTGCAGTAACTCTCTGCAACCTCCTTCTCTCCAAGTTCGGGGACGACGTACCGGTACCGGTGGTACCAGTACCAGGTACTGTAGGTTGGACGCCCAGTGCTAGTAAATCTTGATTGGATCCACCTTGAGGGTGCGTCAGCCGTGGATGCCAGCAATCAGCATGCCATTCGCACAATCGTAATATCCGGGATAAAGGACCCTTTTTGCAGAACAGATCCTTTGGCAGCACAAAAAATGAAGCTGGTACATACACCAATACCACAGTTCTCATTGGAATAGGAAAGCAGAAAGGCACCGGTACGGTAGTAGTCAGATCAGTCAGTTTATTGTTGTATTCTTGGTATTGCAACACAGAAAAGAAGGAGACGATGAGGATGTTGGCGTTGCAGAAGTTGCTGGTAGCGCTTTTCTTCTTCTTTATCGGTGTCTCGGCACAGGATGACACTGATATCATTTGGTCATCTACAGGCGGGGGATGGCGAGCCATGTTTGCAGACATTGGATATGTCAATGTATTCCAACAAGCAGGCCTCATGACGCATAACTCGACACGCTTCTCGCAAGTGGTACGTATCGGCATCGTGTAGAACCGGTTGCTTTTGTGGTTGTTCTCTGTGACAAGTTTGCTCTTCTCGCTGACATCTATGCGCCTGTTTTGTCTTCTGTTCTATGACAGTCTACCGTTTCAGGAGGCTCCTGGTTTTCTACCCAACTCTTTTTCTCGCCAGAGTTCTACAACCAGACAGTCCTTGCCGAAACTCCCGATGACTTGTATGACTTTGTTGTCAGCTGGATGAACACCTACTATAATATTAGCACCGATGTGGTAAAGTAATGTAGTACTCAGAAACATGCGTTCCCTTATGGGCCATGGTGTCTCACAATGTGTTGTTGTCCGCCATGTCCTCCTTCGCCCTACGGTATCTCTTCCACGCACACACAAATACACAGGATGATGCAACCAGATCCCAGTGTAACACAACCGATTTGAAAGCTAGCGAAAACTATGATCCAGAACGAGACGTCGTTAGTGTTCTTCAAGACATTTGCTACCTGTTGGTACAATTCGACTTTGACTGGGCTTTGTTTATCCAAGAAATGATGAGAGCGGCATCAACCGACTTTGGGGATCCGTCCTTTGTCGACACCATTGCCTTGCCCGAGAATCGCATTGAACCCATGCAAGAGGCGGATCTACTCGTTCAGGCAGCCCTGGTTCCAGCCTCTAGGGTGCGACCCGACAACTATGGCGAGGTGGACTGGACTACGGGTGTATACTTTGGACATGACAATGACAATGATGACACGGCAAGCTTGTTCACCGTCGTTCTGTCAGCGGCCTATATCGTTGCCGACACGGGATCCCGATTCTGGTATGGATACGAAGATAAAACCAGCGAGTTGCAGACATATGTTGCCCCAACACCAGCAAAGCACTCGTGGTCCGATTGGGAGGACTTTTACCTGTGGCAAGGAGATCCTACCACGGGGAATCTTGAGATCAACAATACCGCAACTGTGAAAGCCACTTCCAAGGGGATATTTCGAACGCCCTTTGGAGGATCAGAGGAAACGAACGTGATTCAAGTGGCTTCCATTAGCTCGGCGGCGGGCGGAAATGGCTCTCCGCTGTCCCCAGTGGTCTACAATCAAATGCTCTCGATCGGAGTCTTTGTGATAGAGGAGAACTCGGTGAAAACAGTTTGGAGGGTGTTGGCTGGAATTGCTGCGGGAGTTGGAGCTACCATTGTGGGTTACTTTGTCGTGTCCTATGTCGGCTTCAATTGCCACTTGTGTGAAAAGCCCATGAGTCACAAAATGGGAATCGGTATTGGCATCATATTCGGAGCATTGATTGGTCTCATTACGGGTCTCTTCTATGGCCTCGGCAGCATTCTGATCCCCACCATCTATGACAACGGGGTGGGTGCGATCTACAAAAACTCAACCTTTGACAACTTTGCTATTTGCAGTCAGTGGCCCAATACGTGCGCGGAAGAGGACGGCTTTCTCATTGACGGCTGGTTCATTGACAACCCGGCCGTGGTGATCAATGTGGGTCACTACCAGCAAAAGATTGGCGCTACGGAAAGCAAGGGGAAGACGGTCAAGCTCATCATCACCAACACCAATGAAGAATGGAACACTACATTCAACTACGCCCAGTACTTGCAGTACTTTAGCACCTACTTCAACAATAACATTGGACCTGGGGATTTTCTATGGGCCCCAGGGTATTGGGCTCCATTTCGCTCTCCGCAGATCTTTGAAGAGTATCTGGACCAAAAGGGGCTAGATGACTTGCTGGAACCGGTACCAAATACCAACTTTACGACTGCGCTGCTCACAGGGACGACAATCGACAATCCAAGTTTCGGAGTCACTGCGGGTATGTCGGTGGAGATACTGCTGCTCAATCTGAATGAAAACATTACAACCTTTGTCGTTGGGAAACAGGCTGTGGAAAAGTTTACGGATCCACTTGCCAATATGACACGCAGCATTGCTGCCAGTGAGGTGCTGGTTCAAAGGGTGCGCGACTTTGTGGGTTAGAGCTATGCATATGTAATGCAACTGTGTAAAAGATAGATGTTTGTGTGTTCAGGAATAGTTGTGACACAAATGCCTCTAGCTAGCTCTGCTCACTGGCGTAACCTGGCTTCCAGCGAGGGCGTGACTTCGTGGGTTGGAACTCTGCAAGAAACTATGCAAAGATGCGTGCATGTTCTTGGATTACAGCTTTGATGAATAGGCCGGCTGGTTGGGTGTTGTTCTACAGCACCCGAGCACCTCTACTAGCTAGCTAGGTCTGTTCGCTCCCTGCGGATGGACAAAGCTAGGCTGGCAACACACTGACAAATTCAGGAAAGTACAATAGATGTGCCAAGGCTGTTGTACAGTACCGGTACGGAGCCACACCACTCGGTGAGAGCTTCGCCGCGTCAGATGACAGGGAAACAGAACTTTGTTGAAGAATGTTTGTCGTTTGTTGTTTCTTCGCAGCCAATACAGCCGTGTTATACCGGCACCCATGCACCCAATACAGCACTAGCAGCTTGTCGAAGAGGCTCTTCGATGTTGGTGTCACAATCCTTTTTTCCCATCACAGACACAGAAGACTTAGAGTGCAAGCTCAAGTGCACCTGCAATCTCATCATGCGTCAGAAGTTCCGATGGTCCCGTGACCCTAACTACAGGTGGTCGTGGCATGTGTCTCGACTTATCACGAACTTGGAATGTCGAAGGAATGGACACCTTCTTTTGCGTGCGTAAGTTTTGAATTTCGAGATGTCGATGCAGTCGTTCATTTTAAAAAGCATGGTGGATCTTAGAGATCAGCCAATCATGTTTGAAGCCTGAGGCCCCTAGCCTGCTATTCCTGCGTGCCTGCACTACTTACGCCTGGGGAGGTGGCCAAATGCAAGGAAAGGATGGGAGTGGGTAACCTGTGAGGAACCAAGCTTCTTCAGCTAGTTTTTTAGCATATTCAACACATTTGACCCAGATGCTCACTCGTAGTGACGTTAGTTGGGATACTCGCCAGTTCGGTTGCTGGGTCATGTGCCAACTAAACCACTCATTTGGTACGTATGCAATGTCGCATGTCGGGCTGTTCACATCAATCTGTCTTGTTGCTGCCACGAAAAGAACTTTTGTTAAATCAATCTTTTCCTTCGTTCGTAATCAAAGATGGGGTAAATAAACAATTTAGCTACTTTGGATATACCCATGCCGACCGAGACGACATTGATCACTTGGAAAGAAACTGTTGGGAATGATGTAAGAGGGGGAAGCAGCTGTTTTGGGTCAAGCTCGAAAGGAGCGACTCTCCGATCTGTTGCTGAAGCTGCGTTGACTACTGGCGCTACGTGCATCCTACGCAGCAGCAAAACCGACGAGGCAATTAGCTCCAGACCAAAGAGAGTCGAGTCAACCGCAACATCGCAACCAACATCGCAACAAAGCTAATAAACGACAAGGACTCAAGAACAAACCAACCCCTACCCTGCTCCTCTTGTGATAGTTGGGTGCTCGCATAGCATAACAAAACAAACAGAAGTGGTAGTAGTCGAAGTCGAGCTTTCCATTGTAGGAGGTACATCGTCTACGACAGCTCCACAACAAAAAGAGAACCTCTGAACCTTGCGCTTACACCGTGACAAGCAAGCAACAAGACCGTCCAAGGGACCAGAAGGCACAACATCATCACATATTTCGACCATGGACAGCGAGAGTCATAACCCAAGGAAGCGGAAGCGAGAAGCTGAAGTATCGGCTGAAGCCGAAGCTCGCGCCCATAGAGGCCACGCCGCCACCGTCTCCAGTCCACATCAAGACAGCAGTGAAGAAGAAGGCGACAAGCTGGCGTATGTACGTAGTGTGCTTGCTCAGTATGTCGCGATCTATGGCGATGATACGAGCAGCAACGAAGAAGGTTGTACAGGCAACAACCGAGGCGGCGCTGTGGAAGAAGGAGGCATGGGCAGCGTGAGCTCCAACAATGATGGGACCAGCCGTGTATGTGGGAGCGACGATGGGCGAGCAAGCTCTCCTTCGGGGAAGAACAACGAGGCGGGAGAAAGCACCAAGGCAGATAAAGGGGACCAGACACCGGAGCCCAAAGAGAAAGGCCAAGGTCCAGTAAAAGCGAGGAGCGGACGGGTGGTGAACACGGAACCGCACAAGTTGTCTTTCGGATCTGTAACAGGCAGTGATGCAACCTCGTCAAACCAGAAGACTTGTGAAGCAGTATCATCACCATCGTCAGGATCCAGAGAACCAAGACCTGCGCAAAACGCTGTATCGACAATCACCAGCAGCAGCCTCACTTCGTCCACCAATACTGAAGGAATATCAAGCAGCAACAGCGGGAGTGGAAGTGGTTATGATGGTACCGGCAGTACTACAAGCAGCAGCAACAATAGCCGGGACGTGGGGCAACACCGAAAGACAGTGTCCTTGTACTCGGGAGACGGATCCAGTCAAGGAGATGCACAGCACAAGAAACACACGGAGACATCTGTCAAGAAGCCCTCGCGACCCTCGGAGCCCCCAGATGGCGAAGAGGATAGAAGGGATCCGGCCAAGGCTAAGAAGCAATCCAAATCGCAAAAGGACAAAGAGTCCTCCAAGGCAAAGGCTGAGTCATCCACAGACAAACCTCAACAGCGGCCTCAGGCAAAGAACGCTGACGAAGAGGACGATGGAGCGAGCAGCACTAGCGGGTCGGAAGATGGCAAGCAGGACAAACAAAATGCCGAGGCACAGCGAGACCCAAAAGGGGACAAAGATACAACAAAGTCCTCTCGCGATGCAAGGCAGAAGGAGCAGACAAAGAAGACATCCCAGCAAGAGAACAAGAAGGCGGAGGAGAACCGTGTAACTTCCTCATCAGAACGTTCTTCGCAGCAGCAGTCCACAAGCGAACGCCGTCAGTGTCCAGACACCACTGCAAGTTCTTCCAACAATGGTCCATCAAGTAAGAATGAAAATGAAGGCTCTTCCATTGGAAGGGATGATGGTCGAGGAGGGGAAGCCAAAGGTGCTGCAAATGAAGCGCAAAAAGACGAAGGCGTCATGAGACCGGCGGGTGCTTCTGGCTGGACCAATGGTGGCGGGGAATTCAGCGCACTGTCATCCTCCAATGACGGGAGCAGTGACGATCGACCGTCTAACAAGAGTGAACAGGATGCCGACGATAGCAACTCGAGTACTGGGGGATCATCAGGTGGGAACAAGGACAAGAAGCCAAAGCCAAGCCGGCGGCAAAGGCTGCCCCCCATCATACGAAGACTGCCCACCATCATACGAAGACTGCCCACCATCACACCAAGCCCGCTGCCGCGAAGAGCCCCCCCAAAGCCGATGGCAAAGTTGCTGCGGGAGATGCTCAAGTGGCTGACAACGTTGAAACTAGCAGCTCGAATAACCCTGCCGCTGCAAGTAGCGCACGGGCTGCTCTTAGCGCTACGGGAAAACCACCCGAGAAGATTACCGTGCACTACACTAGTCACCACCACGAGGCCGAGGTTGCTTCCGTCGCGACGGCTCCTTCTGCTGCTAGCGTGCACTCCAAGATGAGTCAGTCCTCGGCATCTATGCCACCCGCAAAGGCACAGTTTGCAGCAAAGAAGAAGAAAAAGATCAAGGTAGCTCGAAAGCCACCTCCAACTACCACTATCCCTGCTTCTCCTGCCCTGTTGGCTGCAGCAGCTCGTGCCCCGAAGCAGTCCAAGGTACCTTTCTTTGCGGAGGAACCAATACCTCCCAACGAGACCAAAGAAGAAAAGAAACGGAGAATGAACCGCATTACTGCCAAGAAGAAGCGCGCCAGACAAAAGATCGAAATAGAAGTCCTCAACGAGCAATGCACCGAGTTGACCTCTCTTAACCAGACTCTCAAGGCAGATAACACGCACTTGGAAAATGCCCTCGAAAGGGTCAACCAACTTATTGCCCAAAGTGGGATCGAGCCTGTCGAACCTGGATCTCAGCCACCGCAGCCGATAGGCCCACCAGCCCCCGCTCCCGCTCCGATTGCATCCGCACCACAGAGTGTTGCACCGTTGTCGACGAATGTTGCCACCAACACTCCCCAGGCACCTCCCCAACTTCAGGCGACCACGTCTGTTGCGGCAAATGCACCTCAGCCGCAGCAACAGCAAGGTTTTACTGTTCAGCAACCACCACCTCATCAGACCGGTGCCGCGAACAGCAATTCTCAGCAGGGTCTTGCAGTTGGCGATGGAGGCAGCAACGCTTTGGCGCAGCTTGTTGCAAGTGGAAATGGCAACATGTTGCAGCAGCTACAACAGCTC